GTTCTTTTCTCAATACATTTGTAAATGCTGACAACTCTTTTTCTCTCGACGTTTTATTCGTTTAGAAAAACCCTTACTTCTATGATCGCATATTCTGATATTCGTAAGAAAAGTATATGCCAGCGAAATGTGGTAATGAAGTACAATTTAACTTCATTTTGTGTTCGATGTTTGAAAAACTGAATTCTTAATGAACAAACTAGACTTTAGTGTACATCAACTAATTAAAAGAAGGAACTCGTATTTATGTTTTATATCATAACTGTTTATTTTAGTCAGCATCGCTGTTGGTGAAAGATGTTTCTATGAAGACGGTTCACGGTATGGAAATACCATGATATGCCCTGGTTCATGCTGTGGAACAAGCATAGATCCCTGTTGTGTGTAAGTTAAAATTATTCTATCTCTAAAGATTTAACAATTTCGCTGCAAGCAAAGTTACTAATAGTGATTTGACTTACATTAACTGTAATAATCAGATATTTTGGCTTAAAATCGCATTATTTATGTTTTATTTTTCGAATGTCGCATTTTTGATATTAGGAAAAATATCGTAATGCACATTAACAAACACTAAATAATGATTTTCTGTACACGGTAATCATATAAGCAGTTATGTACATGGGGGAAAACTTCAATCTTTTTCTACGAAACTCTCAGAAATTTCAACGTCTCTCTCAAATCGTTTTGCGACATTTCTCCCAATAGTGTATTAACAGAGAGAGAAGATCCATATGTATATATATATATATATATATAGTGTATTATAATAGAGAGAAGATATCAAAGGGTCAATAAAAATCTAAAGTCCGATAAAAGCAGACACCACCATGCATGGCAAAATAGAATTACGATATAACAGACTGAGTAATACGATATATGCAGTAAAAACATAAAAAAAAACAGCTTAAAAAGTTCAGATGATATATATTTCGACAGAAGTCGTACTTTGACTATTTTACAAATCTAAAACAGACATTAGGAAATAGGTGAATGTTGTAAAAAGGACATTGAATTAAATAAACAGTTATCCGAAATTGTTCTGACGTCTGATGGCCTTTGTGGGGACTTCCTGCGACCGTCTGATGTCAGAGTGCAGTTCTTATAAAAAACATGAAAAATAGCTGCTAGTTTTTGTCTCAAAATCGTAATAAATGCATTAACAGGTAGATAAACATTTTAATCACCCCCTGTAGCACAAACAAAGAGTTCTCCAATACTTTGATCTAGTACTATATGAATACAGTTACAAGTCCGACTCGGTTATTTGACATGTAAACTGTTCAAGAAAAATGAAAAATAGGTCTGAAAATAATAACTGTATCAAACTTACATAGTTTTGGACAATATCTCCCTCGCGCAAAGCTCTGATTCCTCGCCCGGCTTTGCTATACTTTTTGTACGTTTTGGTTTTATCAGCTCTTTTTTTTTATAAGTTTTCGATTTCCAAATAGTTTGGCCTCAAACATCACTGAAGAGACAGTTATTGTCGAAACGTGCATCTGGTGCAGTAAACTGGTATTAAAGTTTAACATGGAAAGCAATGTTCCTACCAATGTATGAATGAAAACTAAGATGCTGTACAAAGCGGAATAACACAATAATTACCGTTAAAGCGACAGATTACGAAAATAAAAAGCTCACCTGGTAAAAATATGCCGTATACATACTGATACTTATTTTAACATTTTCCGCTGTCATGGAAAACTGGAAACTGGTTACCTGGTTTATTTTCCAATATACAGCTTTTCGAGTGAAATCAGATTAAAAGAAGACCAACATTTTTGTTCTTCTTCAGTGCCAGGATCGCATTTATTTATTTATGTAAAAACCCCTTCCCTATGGAAATCAAATAGCCTTCCATAAACAGTCATCACAATACCAATGATCAATGAAATTACTTGTATATCTAAATTTTCTATTTGTAAATTTTGTTGATAAGACTTTTTTGTCATTCCTTATTGATTTCATTATAATATTTAAACACCCAAATATCAGAAAAAACACGATAACAGGGTAAAATCGTCATTTAGATAGAATGAGTCATTCATGTATAAGGTGTCAATGACTGTAGTCTTTGGTATTTTTATGATTTTTGTCCTTTAAAGTTTCTGTCTATATATGTCTATTATAGATTTTCATAAAATAGTCAAAACCGCTTAAATTTGTCAAAAAGCGCCATATATTCATGAGTTTGTTCATATGCTCCATTTACACACACACAGTATAATTATTACACGCATTCGGAAATAATTTAGAACGCCTTACCATGGGCGGATCCAGGATTTTTGAAAGGGGGCGTAATTCACAACACTACACCTAAACTATTGCATAGAAAATTTAATCTACATATTAATAGGTTGTTACAGAAATTTTTGGCATAAGAGTGATGTTTCAAGGATCGCAATAGCTGTAAAACACATCTTCTTTTCAGAGTGAAAAATCATCAAATGACAAAATTAAAGCGTTTAAAAATCTATAAGCAAATAGTAAAATAACAAAAATACCGAACTTCAAGGAAAATTCAAAACGGAAAGTCCCTTATCAAATGGCAAGATCAAAAACTCAAACACATCAAACGAATGGAAAACAGCCCTGACTTAGTACAGGCATTTCCTTGTGTAGAAAATTCCTAAAGTAATATATATTGAGCCAAAAAACACGGCGATATAAAGAAATTCAGAAATTTATCAACCAAAGCAAAGCTAAATAGTATTAATACAAATAGATAATACATTAGAATGATTCCAAAATTTCATATGTATGACTCTGAATTTTTTTTTAATAAATGGCATCTATTTCAAACTAAGATTGGATTATAATTTTAGGGATTCTGGATCAGTCATTGCTATTTCAACAGGAGCCATCGTATGTGGAGTGTTGGTATTTGTATGTATTGCAGTATGTTGTGTACACAAATGTCAGAACAAAAGACGGAACTTACCAACACAACAGAGAGGAATACGTATGTATTGTTTTCTCCCATTCTTAATTGGCCATCAATTATTACGTCGGTTTGCTGTGTGTCGTCAGAGGCTACACCCAGCCTACAACCCTCCTTGTCTCCTTTTCCTGTTTTGTGCCTATGGAGTTATACAATCGAATCATATGTTAGATGCGTAGAGCCTGACAAACTTATACTAAATTTGTACTAGTATTTATAAGTTGGACACTGTTTTGATTCTTTTAATAACCATATTATGTCTCGTGGCCGTATTACAATCAAATGAGATATATAACTATTGTTATTTTTTAATTCTCTGGTTAAGATAAAATAATATGAACCAATTTGGCATTATGGCAGCAGTTTAATTCTTTACTGGAGAATTTTCTACATGTCACATTTAAGGGTATGCCAGATATTTCAGATTGCAACTGTAGATAATAATTAATTATACTTTTATTTGATAGCACAAATTCAGACAGTCAGCAATCAATTCCATGAATTTAATACAACTGAAAATGGACAACTTGATGTGCCACCTCGTTACAGTGATCTCTATCCCGTTCCCAGTTCATCAGACCAGAATTCTATAGATAGGTCCAGACACAGTTCCGTGGGAAATAGAAGTTTAAGTTCAATCAGTAGAAATAGTGATCTAAGAAGGCCTTTAAGACGTGGTCGAAATTCTGGATCGGCTTCTCCGGCACAAAATTCTTCAACAGAATCAAATCAAAACAATGCGTCATCTCTAACGTTACAGGAGAGTGACAATAAAACAAACGAAAACCATGAACAGAGCTCCATCATTGTTGTGACTGACAACTCTAGCAAATGTGAAAATAATGATACGCCCAGGGATAATAATTTAGCAGTAGGACATTCAGATGATACTGGGCGTTCAAGTTTTATGACATCGATTGTGGAAACTTTGCCTAGCGTGTTCGAAAGTGATAAATAATTACTGTGGACTCTATATTTGTTATACATGTATGTGATTTAAAATACTTACGGTGGAATGTTCAAACCATATGAGAATATTCTAAACTGAAAAAAATATGTGATATATATCGTTTACTGTCGCGAGATTGTTACTTGATTTTGTCTCAACGGAAATATATCTTGACAAAAAGTGCGTGTGTATTTTCGAAACAAATACACGAACTATACATATTACTAAACTAAATTCATGCACGTAGCAATATTGTATTCTTGTAGTTATTATCATTACGTGCATGCTCTTTAAAAAACAACTAGAGACTCAGCTATTTCAAATAAAGGAAAAATCATTCTATAGTCAATTGTTTAAAGTAGGATTTTAAATTTGGATAAACAACTTTCCTCGAATACGTACGATGAGATTCCTAGTTTGGAAAGCTTTGCTTCGTCCATTTTGTCCAATGCAAGGAAAATTTGGGCGCTCTGTCGGATAGAACGATACATGATATGTCATACGATACGTCAATATCAAATATTACATTTGGACTTAAGTATTATATTTGTCTATTATATGTATACATCTTTTAATTTCGTTTACATTCCTTTTCATTGATTGATATTAATTATTTTTTATGTATACATCCTATTTCAGTTATGAAATAAAGACATGAATTAAAGAATGAATATTAAAACATATTCTACATGATAGTTTTAATAAAAATAATAATAACTATAATATTTATGGAATATTAAAAATAATGATGAGTAAATAAATGAGTGTTTACCACAGGAAACGAACATCCTTCATATAAATTGGCATTTTCTTAATATATGAAAAGGATATAATAATCGTATTAAATAATAAATATTACATTGAAAATGGTGGAAATTTATACACATCTGATATTTGTAACTTTTGGTAGGTTTCCGAGCAACATCAATGGCTATGTTTTGTTTTACTATTTGTCCTCTTGTGTGGATTGTATTAATTAATTTATATCTCTGAATATCTGGTAATTTATTTAACATGTATAGAGATTAGATTTCTTTTGTGCATTTTTGTTCATAAATTATATATAAAAAATTAAATAGTGATAACAACATGTAAAATGTATGAATGTGTAGATTTCTGTACCATTTTATAATATATTACGTCTTTTAGACAATAACTTTAAATATTTAATGAAAAATAAATAGTTGACTGTCATATACATTGTTGTACATTGTTGTACATTGTTTATTAACGAGTTTCAGATTCAATAATGATCTCGTATTTTAGTTCCAAGTGTACTTTGTGACGTATGTTACTACACGGACGTAACAGGATTTGAAGTGAGTTCATTGTGTCCTGGTACGTGTTGTGGAACAGGAGATGACCCTTGCTGTGTGTAAGTTTGACTGAAAGTACGCATTATGTTAAGGTCCTCCTATACACACATGTTAATGGATAATGACCAAGAAGTATCGATGAAGTAGACGCTTATAGTCATGTGGTGGGGTTAAACTAGAATACATTCTTGTTGAGAACTGCTTACCTTTTTGTTGCCTTTTGCATTTTTTTTAAGTCACTGTCTTGTTGTATACCCTACATTTCCTTTGTATCATTTATTTTAAGTGGAATTAAATATCCCGTATTCGTCATGTTGTTCCATAACATAAGGTCAAATTGCTGAAAGCCCCCTTTTCCACCTTAAATTATTATATGCATATTCAGGACGAAAACATGTTAATGCAATATGTTAAAATCTTTGGTATGGCCCGGCCAGGGATCGAAGCAATCACCTCGCGACATCAAGACAATTACGCTTTAGCGATCACAAAACCATCTAGTATTTAGTAAACGAGTGAGTCAAATAATCATAGAAAAATATTATACACTAGGTCTTAATAAAATTACTGTTATATGTAAACTAGATTTGAGGCTAAACCTTCCTAGTGCAAGGTTGCTGGCCTTAGACTATTTTGTTGGTGTTCAGTGTAGATCCTATTGTTTTAATCCTCCCGGAAATTTAGTGTATTATGTTTAGCAAGCGAATTGTCTTGAGAGTACCAGATTTTAGATTTTCCTGCAAGTGGAATCATATACTTTGGTTGTTTGTGTCTTCTGGTTGTTGTTTCCTTGACGTCATTCCCATGTCTTTCATTCATATTCAACTTTATATTAGTGATAAAATTATGTATAAGATTTGAGGTTTGACCAATTTATTAGATTATACATTTCTTTAATATGATACCATTAAGTTCATTGAAAAATTATATTTCGAACTATCGGGGATATGCACACTCCATAGGAAAGAGCAATTTGAATATCACCAACAAAGGAAGGTAATGAAAAAAAGAAAAGAAAAGTCGCTCCGGTTGTAATATTTTTTATCATCTGGAGTTCTGTTGATTTTTTCCAACATTCGAGCTAAAACGAAACTTAATATCATTTGTTGTTTCGAAGTTATTGGTCTTTTGTATGGCAATGTATGACAAATATATGTTGAAAAACCTCGCCCGTAATTATAAATTATGTAATTCATTGACCGCTCCCGACATGCATGTGTTACTTCAAGGCATATTTTAGCGGCGATCGATGTCTTTCAAAATTACTGCACTTTTCTTGTATCCCTGGTGCTTTCGACTGGAGAACCGTCGTACACAAGCATCGCACAAGTTGGCACTCCAAAGCGGGTGGGGAGCAAGAAGGTGAACTGTGGTTTATTTTTATCAATAGTATCGCTTAAGTCGACGCTAGGGGCCGTCTTGATCTTGTTGTAGGGTATGATCGATTCGTTCATTGTTGAAGACCCTACATCAACTGCCAAGATGAAGAACAGGAATAAAAGCCCTGTTCATTGATAATTTTCTATGTTTTCTATGTATTGTGTGCAATTTTGTCCCATGTACATTTACTCCATATCCTTTCATTTTCTATTAAATTGATGAATCCAAACGAAAATGATTTTTGTTTCCATTTACACGTTACCTATTTCAATAAATGATGTATGTATCATGTTAATGTTTTTAGAGACTCCGGGTCGATCATTGCCATTGTCATTGGAGTGTTTGTATCATTAGTTTTATTGCTTATCCTCACCATTATATGCTGTGCTGAAAGACGACGTTCTAGAAGAAACACAACTCGACGGACCAGGTTACAGAGAAGATTATGTAGGTGTTTATAAATTTTTTTCATGTTATAATTATTTGCCTTGTGTTTAAAGTTTGATATTTATCTAATGTATGTCGTTTTGGGTGAGTTAATTAGATTATTTTTAAATAATGATACACATTTCGTACTTTTAATCATTTCTGTTTTCTTATTCATTTCATTCTTATATAAATTATTTACTTACAGCTGGGTGGATTGAAGGGACTAGCAACACACAAAACAATAGTTTAACAAATGGAACTTCAAGTGACCAGGCTCAAATGCCACCGAGATACAGTGATTTATATCCCCGGCCTGATTCTTCCATAGGTAACACACGAACGAGTGGAACAGGATCAGAAGCTAGACGAAGCTTAATAAGCTCATTTGGATCTTTTTTTAGGAACAGTAGTTTGCGGTGGTCAGTAAGACATGGTGTAAATTCGGGTGTATCTCCTAGGGAACAAACCTCAGAAACTGAAACTATACCCAGCAATGAAACCAACGTTTATGAACAACAAGATACTAATTTGGTTCAAAATCAATTTGAAAATGCAAGTGTTCCGACTGTTATCGTATCGGAAGATTCAGAAACTTCGATACCAAGTGTCCAGTTTTCAAGTCTTGACAAAGATAATTGTAAAATGATATCTGACAGTCGTTCCAGCTTGATGAAGTCAATAGTAGAGGCAGTACCTTCAGTCTTTCAAACAACAAAGATGAACTAGATTCCATTGGACTAAGCATTATTTTATAATAAAACTAAATTGATGTTTTTAAACAATTCCCTTTTTATTTTCACTTCATCTATATACATCAAGATTGCAGGCATGACTTATACATGCCATTAGTTGATATTTTACAAAATGAACAGAAACATTGGAACCTCAGTACTTTAAGACACATTGTATTAAATTTTTTTGTCAGAATCAACCAGGCAAATTTTCAAGATTTCGACCGGATTGCATTAAAAACAACTTACGAACGAATACGAAACACTGTGTTATGAAAGAAGAAGTTGTGATAAGAGCCATATTTTACCTATGGAAGTGTAAAATTCTTAAAACCTTCCAAAATTAAATGAATTCATCAATACATGAAAATATCATATAGTCTGGTCATTTTTGTGCATGAATTTTATGTCACTGTGACATAATAAACATGTCTCAATTGACCCAAAATATAAATTTCAAATGTAGATTTTTTGTAAAATTTAATGCGAAACAGCATTTCCTAAAAAGAAACTGAACTGACATAAACATCAATGTAAAAGACACTTTGTAACATTATATCTTTATTTTAAATGTTACTCTTATATACATGAATTGTACATAACAATTAGACCATCTGCAAAAAATGAAGCAATGTTTTTACAGATTTGCACTTTTTCTTGTAATGCAAGAAATTTGAAGGCTTTAAGTAAATATGCAAGACAAAATTAATATATACTATTTATGATTTATGACAAAGTTGTGTCTTGCACATATCTAGAGGATGTCATTTGATAGTTATATCAATGTAATTGTTTAAGAGGTAAACAAAATGTGACCTTATCAAGCCTTTCCCTTTAAATCACTTATACATGTATCACAATATTTAGGTTGAATAATGTTCCTTTGAGTTTATCATATTATAATTTTATTGTTGCTTTACTATTCTGGTGATGATCATCTTGATTTCTTTCAACTAAAGACTAAGTTAACCTTACGCAATAGAAATTGTCAAATAATCATTGGCCACGAATAAATTGATTCCGCATCCTTGTCATTAGAAAAAAATAGCCTATTATCATTTATTATACTTCATGTCTAAATGCCAGATTTTGATTGGTTTACATGAGGGAGACAATTTACTCTATCCCATGGCAAAAACTCTATTACCCTTCACGGGGACGCTTGATCAAGTGTGCGTTTTAATAAATACGGATGATTGTAATGTACAAGACGTCACAGTTTATTACTTTGAATTTGAAATTTGATAGACAGTAAAAACAGAACATTCAGTATAATAAATTAAATGACACATATCTGAGACGGTGATGGAGCAGATTGTTACCCCTCGAAAAGACATTGTCTACCTTGGCTTCGCCTCAGTTGACAATGTTTTCTCGGGGTAACAATCTGCTCTATCACACTCTCAGCTATGTGTTATTTATATAATGTCTTCCTCTTATCATAAATTCAGCTCATGGAGCACGATAAAAGACCAAAGGTACGTGTAGATATAAAGTAGGTTATTTATAATTGAAAAAAATATAACAAGAAAAGGATGGATTGGTGAGTCTTGTGTAGACGAAACACGCGTCTGGCGTATTAAATTATAAGCCTGGTACCTTTAACAACTATAAGCTTGTCGTAATGTTCTATCGTATTGTTTATTTGTGTGTTTTTCTGTCCTGTGTGTTCTTCTATTTATTTGTATTGTGGTCCTGTCATGTAATGTTGCCATTTTAGTGTTATATATAACATTGCCATTAAAGCGTGAGGTTTTGCTAGCCATAAAACCAGGTTCAACCCACCAATATTTCTTAAAATGTCCTGTACCAAGTCAGGAAAATGGCTATTGTTATCTTATAGTTCGTTTCTCTGTGTGTTGCATTTTAGTGTTTCTGTTGTGTCGTTTTTCTCCTCTTATAGTTGATGTGTTTCCCTCAGTTTTAGTTTGTAACCCGGATTTTGGTTTTTTTCAATCGATTTATGAATTTCGAACAGCGGTATACTACTGTTGCCTTTATTTGTCCAGAAAATAAATGAACAGTAATATAAACTGAAAAAAGCAAGAATTACGTAAAACATGTCGGCAAAATCGATTGTAAAAATTATAAAATAGTGGTATTGTCATTATACTATAACAATTAAAAATTATATGAAGTTATGTTCATAAAGCATTCAAACACTATGCAATGCTTTCAACTTCTTGCTTCTGGTTTGAAAATTTGAAAAAGTTAGGTTTCTGCCAAATTTTAGCAATTTTCAAACTAATTTTAACCTATAATGGTTTACTTTTACAAATTGTGACTTGGATGGAGAGTTGTCTCATTGGCACTCATACCACATCTTTCTATATCTAGATATAAGCAAAGGTATCGAAGAAGGTCTACAACAAAGAACTTGGATGTAACCCGTAAAAAATCAAATGTACAGGATACGCTATAAAGATCGATTTAACTAAACACATTTACACTTATATCCTTAATTTCCTTTGGAAAATTAAGAAGGTCTTTCCGATATACTATAAAGTACTTGTATTTAGTATATTTAATTATCAGTATTTGGGGTAATATATACATGTACGCATACTGTCGGGCATTATTGAAACTGCTATGTGGGTAGTGGATTTTCTTCTTTTTCTGAGACTAAAAGGTAAATATTTTGTCAACTTTCAACCATTTGATCTTTACTGTAGAACCTGAAACTTATAAACGGTTTGATCTAGATCGTCAACGTTTAAAAAATAAAATACCTTTTTTAAATATATCAATCCAACAGCAACAGCTACCTGAAGCCGTGATTTTCAATTTCGTTTTTCAAAGCTAGGCTTTTTTAAAAAGAAAACTGTGATACAATGTCTCAAATTTTTACATGCATTTGAAAAATTTTACATTGAAGGAAATCCTTAAAAACATGATGGAAATTGGAATTGGAAAACAAACATAACTTTACTTCTAATAGAATGTTGGTGTTGGTTTGTAATGTACTTCTTATTCATTTTTGTGATTATAAAATCTACCAAAATTTCACATTTGCACGATCTTAATCGCGTTAAAATTAGATACATATTTAGTAACCCGCCATATTTTTTTGTAAAACCTCATTGAAGTACGCATCAGAAGCTGTCATATTGTGAATAATAATACAGTTTGGAAGATTTTTAGAAAACGGGCCTACTGTAGGGAAATTGTGTCTACCCTTTTTTAAATACTTTTGATTCATTTTACTTTATGCAACTCTCTTAAATATATGATCTTGTCAATATTTTACCGGAAAATTGACAAAATACGCGATATTATTTAGTTAAGATCCGGGATTTGTTTTTGATGTCAATCCTTTACAAGTAGCCAACAGATTATCACCATTAAGGAAAGAAAAACAAACAATGTCGAGAGAAAGTCTCACGTTTGTCATATTGGTAAGGCCTCTTGGAATTTCATATCAAATAACCTTACCCAAGATATCACAACATAAAACTGTCAGGCAACAATACCGCTATGTGACAGTAATTAACATGAAAAAACCCGGTAAATAACGTCTTAAAGAATTATGCAAATACTTCATGCCAATTACCGTATTTGTTAACATTGACATATATGTGTACATGTTTAGAGAGCCAAAACAACAGGGATCCAACATGAGGCCATCACGTTTTTTTTTTAAACCGTTAATTTTACACCCAAGGAGTGATAAAAATAATTGCTGCGAAAAATCTTTCACATGCAAAGAATTTCATATATCCAAACAAGAATCACCGGGTTTAAGGGTCTTGCTGTTAGACAGAAGAAGTCTTTAAAGTTTAACGCAAGCTCGAAATTGGCATATATTTTTATTCCATAATAAACCAGATGAACTGTGAGTTATTGCTCACTTATAAAAACCCCGCTATAAGTATTAAGTAAACAGGAAGTTTATGAGTGATGGATGTAGAAAATTATCACTTGGTATCGCATATTCACATGAAACCTGGTTCCAAATTTCAGAAAGCCTTGATTTGTAGTATGAGAAAAATAGGACCAAAATGTACGGAATGGACGGACAGACTGACGAATTATGCTCACATGAAACCGGATTCCAATTTTTAGAAAGCCCTGATTTATGGTTTCTGTGGAAAATGGGACGAAGATTTTATACATGGCCATTATGTGTAAGAACATACTATTTTGCCAAGAAGTTGATGATCGACAAATCTTAAAATGCACCACACAGTATAGAATGCCAACATGAAGCTAGATACCAAATTTTAGAAAGCTCTGATTTGTTTTTTTTAGAGAAAAATGCGACCAAGATTTTAAGGGACGGACAGACAAAAACACAAACTGTAGGAAGAACGGACAGGTATAAACAAGAATACCCCCCCCCCCCCTGATTTGATGCGGGAATATTATTGACATATAATACATAAAAAATATAACAAAGATTACCAAATATATATATTAAAAATAACGGACCACACCACCCACCAATAATCGAATTTTCTATGGAAATCAACATGCAAATAAAGATAAAACAATAATGAACAGCATTTGGTCTAGATTGCATGATCTGGCACAGGCACAATAAAGGGAGGAATTAAACCACGTGCGCACAAACCTCCCACAATATAGCCCATATGTCGTAAAATTAAAACAACTCAATTAAAACCTAAACAGTCCATTTGCCATCAGATGCCCATTTGAAAAATATGTGTAATTTTTTTTTAATGTGCTCCTTGCTACAGGAATATATCTACAATGTTGAATTATAGTCGCACAAAGGGAAGAAACTCTTAACAACAAATTAAATTGAAATCGGCAGTATTTGTGAGAGGCCACTGTATATTTAAAATCTTCAAATCATCGGAGGAAAAAACATTATCACTGAATTAGTACTAGAATATACATTTCGTAGTTTTTGCTGTTGAAAGATGCAAAACCTTTCTTGAGTTTAGATATATTATGTTAAACGTTTTAGTCTGTCTACGACATATATATAGTTATAGAATGCTCAAGATGTGGTGAGAATACTGTCTTCAATTAATATTGTACGGGAAACATTTTTATCAACAGATACCATGCTGAAAACGACAGTAAAATGTTTTGAACGAATTCCAGTCATTTTCAACTACAACCTAGAAATTTTGGTTGGTAACGTTGCAAAAAGTAAACAGTTTCTTTTATCGTATACTTAAGTTTCAACTTCGTCCTTTAGTACTATTCCACTTATGTCTAAAACACAAATAGATTAATCAAAATTCTTTGTTCGAACTGTAATCGTAATATTATTATTGTTAGTCTTATATTTACTATCATTCAATCAACTTTACAAATAACACTGATAAAACAAATAAATATATTGCTATTTTGGTTTATTCAAAAAGCATTTGTGACTTTATACTTTAGAAGAAAATTTCCTTTTATTGTTATCGTTATATCTAGACATAAAATGAATGAAAGAAATAAGGTATTGCTTGATTGGATTAAAAATGACTTAATGTCGCGCCAACACGAAACACCATATCGCGACAAGAGGAACAAACAGGAGAGAGAAGTTTGTACTGGTTGTGTTTAAACGATGCATATGTTCTAACATACAAGCTACGCTGAAACTTTCATTGGCCCAACAACGTTTTTTTCATGTGAAGGACTGTTTATTGGTACGTAATCGCAGGGATGTTTTTTTTATTATATAGGTGTTATCAACAAAATGAGCATCAGTTTTAACATACAGCCAGGACAAAGACCACAGTTACGCGTTTGGTTTGATTCGTATGTATTCATGTTAAATACCTTCACATCTTATGTGTGACTTGTCATAATTAAGTCTAGTTTACTCAACTAGGTGTAGTATACCTTAGTTAAAGGGTCAATTATATGTATGAATATCTATACTATTAAATGAGAAGACCTCATTTTGTGTGACGCTTCTCTTCCTTCCACATTAAATCAATCATCATGCTTTTATGTCCTATAGGTACCATGCATAGTCGCATTTGTCATCCTCGCTTACAAATATTTCGTTTGGGTTTTTTTGGGAGAAAAACGAAAATAAAGACGTCTGGATATTGTTTCCGTCCTCGGACTGACTTTTAAGTCATAGATAAGACTTCCGTTTAGGACTTAAAGACTTACACATTATTTTCATAGGTACAAGGGGACAGGACAATTATTTTCGCGTTTTTCTGTATACTATGAACAAACATACATGTGTACTATATAAATACAGTGTATTTGCTATTTGCTATCAATTCCAAGTTTAATTCCATGGATTGATAATAAATACCAAATAAACTGTATTTATATAGTATATGTTATTATGTATGTTCATAGTGTACAGAAAAAAAACGCTAATATTATTGAAATTAACAGAAAACAACAAAAATATAACGGACTTTGGAAAAGGGGGAGGGCTAAAAAAATTGTACTGTCCCCAAGTACCTTTGACCTTTGATAACTTTCCTGAAATACTCCAGTCATAAAATCTTTTACATAAATTCATCCTACAACAGTTTACATACCATCAACAACGCTCTAAATGCCCGTGATTTCGCGGGTGTGTTCTAGTTAAATTTGAACTTATCATTTCTATTTCATTATTAGACATATTGTAGCAAACTAATTGTTTTGGCTGGGCTCTTGCTCAGATCAAAATATTTCAAAAATGAGGCCAACATTAAATGTAAGCGTTGTTCCTTTGATATATGCGTCATGTAACAGTATTTCATACATCCACCTATTATCCCTTATTTTTATATTTGTCATTTGAACGCTGAAATTAAAGTTGTTATAAAGAATTATTTATCAAAGACAGTCATTTTGATCATTTTGTATTGCCTATGACACCGAAAATTTAACCTTAATAACAATCACATAATTCATACTACTGTCAAATGTGGTTTCGCTTATTTCCAGTTTGTTTTACATTAATTTGCTAAAAACTCATTAAAGATAAGTCTGGTATTTTAGTACGTCAGGCGTGTTTCATCTACACAACACTCACCAGTGATGCTCGAATGAAAAACAAGTTTTAATACCAAACCATTGACGAAGTTGATCAGCATTAAAGACAAAAAAATCCAAAAAAAATGTGCCTAATCTGGCTTGGGCCATCGTTGCCTGCGTGCAGAAAATCCTTAGTGATTCGAACATTTTATGAACAGTTAATTTACATAATAAATGATAATTCATGCCAGCACAATAGCACAATAGCACTGAATACTGGGTTGGTGACCAGCAGTGGTATCAACCCAGAGGTCAATTAGTCAAACATTCCCACGTCAAGGACAATTATTTTGAATTCCTTTCAGAAGATACATATTTTGAAAGATTGCATCATAGACACAATCTCTGTCATTTTTTAAGTAATTGATTTGTTATCTTTGATTGCCTCCTTGGAAAAGCCCCAACCTCCTCTTAAAAAGAAAATTAATTAGTAAGAGTTAAGAATATATGCCCCCTTGAAGTACATATCAAAATCTGAAGACAAATGTAAACGGTTCCATGCGATTTTTAACATTCGTTGTGACATAATTCTCGACACATATGTAATTCAAATGTTCTGTATACATTGATGTTTTTTTTATTTTTCAGGCATTTTCTTATCGTTTTGATAATTCTTGTATGTGTCTTAATAGTGATAGCTACAGTGATGTTAACATTTTCGGGCAAACGAACGAAGAAGATTAACAAGCAACTTAACGAAAATGTGTGAGGTTATTTTGATGGAGATAGTGTGAACAAGAAATCCGTGTGTGTGCTTTTCCGTGTACTAAAAGTTTCAATTTAACCAAATTGATCTGCCTTCCAAATGCACTCAGTTTTTCTACTAGAATAGCTTAGATTATCAAACGTTTTAACAACCAACAAACATATTTGCTATGGAAAAACTATATATGAAAATGGATTGTGTTCTGCATTACAAAAAAAGACTATAGAAATAAATAAAAATTTAAACATTTTGTGAATGTACTTAATTTCAGAACATGTCAATCATGTTTATGCTAAATTATTAAGTCTTTTTATCTTTTAGCTTCGTTTCAAAGAGATCATTATAGTAATCGTTCCTATGTTTATCATCTCCGAAGGAATAATGCTGATCCATATTTGGAGAAAATTTGTTTGCAGGTGGATCTTTCCCATACACATCTGCCAAAATACGCATGTAGTGAGAGGCGTTACCACAGCACAAACCAATATACTGTATTCCCAGTGCTTTTGCCTCTTCCGCAAATTCTTTTATTTCTGTTCTAGTACATGCAACTCCCGGCAAGTCTACTGGAAAGGCTGGTTTACCTGCAAGATTACATAATATTTTCTATAGCAAATAATGTATATATATAAATATATGAAAAAACAGGTTTAATTCAAAACACCTCTTCAATTTAGGTGTAAATAAATCTTCGGTCAGTAATTGTGGTCTTTCTTAATTTCAAGACAACATGTATAAAATATAATAATTGAAAAGGATCAAATGGATCTTAAATAATCTTTCGGTCACATCTTCAGAACAATTTTTCTGAATTTTCTGATCGAGGTAAAGGTTTTTCATAGGACTTAATTAAGAAAGTCCTCAACTTGTAACAATCATTGACGTAAGCAGGCACTTTAATTTTTGTTTTAATTATAGTACACCATTGACATATGGAATCTTTAACGACAATGCAAAACAAGACAATAAAATGTTGATATAGTCATTATACGTTGTTAATTGACCTATTAACTTTTTGTAACACGGTCTTTGATTTTTTTTCCATACTGTCTCATGTGATAGACACTTTTATTATGGGATTGCACACGATCATGTTTTCCCTGACTGTTTATAACATCTTTGCACTAAATTTATTGGATGTGTTCTGATGATATTTTAGTCTTAGATATATGATTTTATTATTAGTTATTTTTGGCTTTCAGTAAACTGCAAGTAATCTCAGATCTGTACTTAGTGTCTTTTAAGTCCTTTTGTTAGTTGTTTTAGCATAATTTGTTTCTATCGGATGAGTCAAGCCTTATCAACTGAGTTTTATTGTTTGTTTTTATGTTGTGCTGTTACACCACTGTCCCATGTCAGGGGTTAGTTGGTCGCCCGCAAACGTGTTCTACCACGCCACATTCTATGTCTGTTTGTTCAAAGTCAGGAGCCTGTAATTCAGTGGTTGTCGTTTGTTGCTGTATGTCATATTTTTTGGTTGTTTATTATTTTGTATATAAATCAATCAGGCCGTTAGTTTACTTGTTTGAATTGTTTTACATTTGTCATATCGGGGCGTTTTATAGCTTACCATGCAGTATGGTTTTTGCTCATATTGAAGGCCGTACGGTGACCTATATTTGCTAAATTCTACATCACTTGGTCTATCTTCGAAAGTTGTCTCATTGCCAATCATACCAGATCTTTTTATCTTTTATGTATTTGTTCTTGATTGGGTAACAAATAAAGGCAACAGTAGTATACCGCTGTTCGAAACTCATAAATCGATAGACATAAAAACAAATCCGGGTTACAAACTAAAACTGAGAGAAACGCATCAAATATAAGAGGAGAACAACGACACAACAAAAACACAACATTAAAATGTAACACACACAGAAACGAACTATAATATAACAATGGCCATTTTCCTGACTTGGTACAGGACATTTTAAGAAAAAAATTGTGGGTTGAACCTGGTTTGTGGCATGCCAAACCTCCCGCTTTTATGGCAACGTCAAACACAACACCAAAACGACAGCATCACATGACAAGACCACAATACAAATAAATGGGAGAACATATAGGACAAATAAACACACGAATAATAGCTAACAAAAGGTACTAGGCTTAAAATTCAATACGCCAGACGTGTGTCTCGTCCACACAAGACCAACCAGTGACGCTCAGATGAAAAAAGTTTGAAAGCCAAAAGAAGTACAAAGCTGAAGAGCACCGAGGACCAAAACTTCCAAAAAATTGCGTCTAACACGGCCAGGGTTTTCTGCCTGGGACATGAACATCCTTATTATTTAGAATAATTTATAATTTTGCAAACAGTAAATTTTATAAAATGACTATATAATAGATATACATGATAAAACCGAAGTGGGGACTAACTACAGAATAAAACGGATACATTACATAAAACAACTTAAGCCAACACATAAAAATACACAGCCGAGTTAGCCAAAGCCTCAACGCACAAAGTGACGTCACATTTTAAATTCTAAAAAAACACACAAAGTGACGTCACATTTGAATTTGTAAAAATATTTCCCAAAAATAAGATAGGATTAGGATTGATTCAAGATTAGATTTGTAATACTGACATTTCATTTATTAATAACAATGAAAATTACAATACTTATTAATATCAAAATGTGGTAGTAATTAGATAATTAATAGTATTATCTAGCTATGTCGGTGTATCTTCTGAATCAAACTGTAAACCAAATATATCGTATAAATTTCGTTGACAACAGTGATTAAACAATGTGCTTTTTCAGATAAAACTGTGAAAAAAAAACCTTATAATACTTGTGGTCAAATGTTATCTTAAATATGCGCAATGATTTTAGTGGTGTTCTTCAAAAGAGAAAACAAACAACACACGTCCACATGGTCCATGGAAGCCTAAAGCAATACAAAGAGTTGCGTACAATCAAAGCACCAAGGGCGCTATAGGCAGTTAATTAAAAAATCAAATGCAAACTTGACAGAAGTAAAGATGAATATTGTGGAAGAATTGGTGAAAATATTTATCTCAGCTATTTCTCAAGTATCCGTAATGTTTCCGCTAGCCAATCCTACTACTTTCAAAAGATATTTCCAATTTATTTTTTAAAGATTCAATGTCTGAGATTATGCACATACACTGTCCCATGTTAGGGAAGAGTTTTGTGCCAGCTAACATGTTTAACCTGCCACATTCTGTATGTGCATGTCCATAGTGAGGACCCAGTAATTTGGTGATTGTTGATTGTTGCTGTATATCATATTTATTTTTCATAATTGTTTTGTACATAAATCAGCTGGCTGCTTTAGTTTTATTGTTTTACATTTGTCATTTCGTGGTCGTTTATAGCTTACTAAGCAGTATAGGTTTTGCTAATTGTTGCGGACTGCATGGAGGAATATTTTAAATTACTTATCAGAATAATAATTTCAATAATGGTGTCCAACAGTGGTGTATGGTTTAATTCCACTATTTACTAGAGTTTGAATATGCCATATTAGCGGTTTTAGTTGGATCAGCTGGTGCCACTATGCACAATTATCAAATCATACCTGAAACTATCTGAAGTGGTGTAATTTTCTTGTATATTATATTACAATAAATGCTGATGTTGTTATAATGGCCTAGCAATGATGCAACATATTTTTTGAAGGCTGTACGGTTGCCTATAATTGCTTACATCCACTTATATTATTTTATAATAATTGTACATGGCTAATCTTTAATAAGCTGTTAACACAGAGACATGTTTTGCCTATTTGTTATTTTGATAATGCAAATGTTACAATTGAAATAGAAAGACTTTAACATGTAAGTGATATTCAAAGACAATGAACCATGACTGTTGGTACAGGGCTGATCAGTCTCCATGGAAATGAGATGTGCCAATGCTTATACAACTGCTTACCAAATACCATTGACTTTTCATAAGTCTTTCCCTTTCAACAAACCTTAACACAAATTCAATTTCTAAGTCAATGAACCATAATCATGATAATGAGGGGGTGGGGTTATATAATATCCATGAAAATGAAACTTTTAAATACCAATACGTTTGCATACCAAATAGCTTTAACTTAAGATTACTGGTAATTTACTGACATAATCATAATAATAACAAACTAATTCATGTAAACTAAGTAAAGTTTCAAAGTCAATAGATCATGCATATGACTGAGGGGTAAGGACCAAATATCCTCTATGGAAATGAGACGTACTACATTTGTAATGCTTCTACACCTGGATGCCAATTATCATTGACCTACCACTATTGGTTTCCCTAATACTAACCTAATCAAAAGCTAATAAATGAAATTTCAAAGTAAAATAAGTTTCCAAGTAAAAAGAGCATGATTGAGGGGGCGGGGCCAAATAATCTCAATGGAAATTAGAAATGACAAAGTTAATACAACTGCACACCAAATATCATTGACCTACCACTAGTGGTTCCCCCTAAACTGACCTAATCACAAACTTATACATGTAAGTAAAACTATGCAAAGTTTCAAAGTCAATAGACCATGACTAAGGGGGTGGGGCCAAATATTCTCCATGGTAATGAGACGTGCCTATGCTAACACAACTGCTTACCAAATATCATTGACCTACCACAAACTAGACCTTATCACAAAATCACAAACTGCTACATTGTTGATGCCGCCAAAACAGCATGCCTTTATATATATATATATATATATATATCTTTTTGACTCTGTCAAGGCAAGATAAAAATTGCAACAAATTTAATACAAACATTTTGTCAATCTTTTTTTAATATTTTTATATTCTTCATTTCTTAGATATATCAATGCTGCGTTCACACATAATTCAAATTCGATTCGCATTAACTGATTTGAATTAGTTTAATACGCATTCTAAACATTTAACATGTTTAATGTCCAAAAGTAAATTCTACTTCGAATTGCAATACGCGTCAAAATCGCTTTTCTGTCGGAATGACGTTAACTTTTAATTCAAATTATCAATTAATTTATTATAGTTTAATTTGAATTACAATTTAGAAAGTGTCCACACCAGGTTTAATCAAATTAATCAAATTAACTTATTTGTATTAACAAAAAACGTATTTCTAATGAAAATTGGATAATGCAAATTAGTCAATTTGAATTAGATTCGAATTAAAAAAAGAAGAGTGTGTGAGTGCGATTAGTGAATTCGATTCGCATTAGATTTTAATACAATTCGAAATTAAAAAAAGAAGATTGTGTGAACTCGGTTCGCATTCAATTCAAATTCAACGTACGTGTGAACAAGGCATTAAACAAGTGACAAATATGCATTCAGTAAATAATAAAATTTTAAAAAAATCCACAATCAAAATACTGCTGCGTAATTATGGTAATAAGTAATTCTCCTTGGTACAATTTAATCTTACTCTTGGATTGTCAAGAATACAAACTAAAATATTTCATGTTTCTGCACAATGCATCAATATCATGAATTCCAACTTTCTTTATATATAACTTCATGCAAAAAGTTTCTGATAACTAGGCATACTTCTTAGTGCACAATAATACATCTCCTTTTGTAGTAACAGTTACACAGATTCTGACATATGATCACATATCATGATCATAGTTCTGAAAGTATCGTTAAACAGTCTCTAAAAATTGCTAGACCGATAGGCACACTTAATAACAAATAATATTCATGTGTTGTAACTACTGGCAAGTTTATTATAATTCCTGTCAGAAAGCTGAACCAAAACTTGTCGGACTAGTCGACATGATGACCCTTGGCATAAACAATCTTCAAAATTGATCATATATGTATATATACATGTAAATATCTTCATAACATCATAGTAGTCTAGAGTTTCATTGCTGTTATGGAATTATTGTGGTGAATAGACAATCCAGTTGCTACAGAGAATCATGTATTGTACATGTACATGTATGCCTTGCCTCTTCTAGTATTAGCCATTCCCAAAGATTGGAATCAATCTGAAATAAAAACAAAAACAAATAATTTGCTTATTTTGACAAATACAATGTAGCAAAAAAGCTTCATGTCTTAAATCTTTATGTATTAGTTTTGTCCATGTTCATTGATGCTGTGATAACTCATGATCATGCTTATATTCTCTGTTATAAAAAAAGATGTGGTGTGATTGCCAATGATTGAGACAACTCGTCACAAGAGACCGAATGACACAACAGATTTTAAGAATCAAATTTTCCAAGCATATATACTTGTCTGTTATTTTTCAAAGCTTTTTTGAATGACAACTGCTTAGGTATTATGTCCTTGCCTTGCGAGGCTTTTGTTCAGAATAACATGTCTACCTGTGTATGCAAATTGTAAAGAAATATAATAAGAAGATGTGGTACGAGTGCAAATGAGATAACTCTCCTTCCAGGTCACAATTTGTCAAAATTAAACCATAATAGGACTATGAGAGCTAGTTGTGCAGCTAGGTCTGAATGAATTAGTTTGAACATAATTTCCAAAAAAAGTATGATAAAGACATAATCTTTCAATCCGTTCAATTAAGGTCTGGAGCTAGCATGTCAGTTAACTACCAGTAGTCCTTTGTTAGTTTATGCATCATTGTCATTTTGTTTAGTTTCTTTTGTTACCTATTCTGACATCGGATTGAATTTGAAGACCCATTGGTGGCCTTCGGCTGTTGTCTGCTCTTTGGTCGGGTTGTTGTCTCCTTGACACATTCCCCCTTTCCATTCTCAATTTTATTTGAAATTATAAGTGAGTTAAAATATCTTGATTACGGTTTCACTGTCTTCCAAGGTCCGAGATTACTCTGACGTCTAACGGCTGTTTTGCCAGACACGGCCAAAGCTTGTCTGGCAAAACAGCCGTTTGACGTCAGAGTAATCTCGGACTACGTCTTCCATTGCCAATATCATAATAAAAAAATAATATTTGTGCTTTAAAAAATTGTTATAGAAGAGTAACTTGTTGAAAACGTAAAGACTATAAAATACAACGTTACCTCTTTTCGTAATTTTTTTTGCAAAATTTTCATGGAAAAGTCGTTTACCAGCATCAAGTTGCTGAAGGAAACGCATAGAAATGATTCTAGAACACTTCACGAGTGTTTAAATATGAAAAAATCACAAAATGAAACATCGAAAGAGTTGTTTATTTCATTACCGGAAATTGAAAAGTCCTTGTAAATCAAAAACAATTACGGTGTGAGACGCGTCACAAATTCGTACTTAATATTTTACAAAAATGTGCGATGGAAGTTAAATAATGCCGCCCTTTAGCAAATTATTGATAAAGTATTAATCTAAATATTGTTTGAAGCACCTTAAGCTAAATGAAAGCACATGTAGCAGTCTGTAACACCAAAGACAAAGCCACGTGGGCAAAGCCTGAACTAAAAACACAATGGAAACCATCTTGAAATGAACTTGACATCGACCAATCAGATCTCTAGTTTTATTTTACATAAATAACAAGAACTTGATTTGACAAGCATGAATTGATCGAAGGTCGGTTACGAGATAAACGGAATAATATTAACAAGTTAAGATGATTTAAATAATCACAATCATCTCAAACAAAACAAATGAAATGATTAATAATAATTACCTTTGAATTATCAGAATCCACCAAATTTAAAACGTCCTTGATTTCCGTTTTGTCGACGAAAGTTAAAATTACCGTCAACTGAGACTTCAACTCCGTGTCATATTAGTCACAGCCGTTATACAATATTCCTGCGCTTTTTGCCATTTGGCAGATGTAAACGACTTGTAATTAGAGATTTTCGGCGATGAAATAATTGATACAATTGTTCTTTGACATCTTAGCCAAAAAGAAAGGGGATAATAAACTACATAAGGATATCTATTGAGCACTACTTTCTATGTGCAACTTCAAAACTTTTGGGTGGTTCGACGATCATTTAAGGTTTTTCTGGTCATATTTTTTTGTATTCCAGAATTAAAAGTATGAAAAAAGTGTTCAATTAGTTATAAATAACATAAAAGCCAGCTAGATAATAACAATTGCACCAATTTCAGCATTTATTGGGTAGAACACAAATCTAGGGTGCTCGCATAAGGCAGCTTAACTGCCCAAAGCCTGGTCTTTGAGTCGTGTTTATTTACCTTTGATGACGTTTGGTCTTTCGAATTTGTGATTTGTGTTTTAATATTCTCAAATGTATATTCACTTGAGTTCTCATGCATATCTGATTGAAGATTGTTACCTTTAGAAATTGTCGTGTGCATTGAAAACAGTATTGATGTGGTCTGTCGTACCGTCCAGTATTATTGTTGATTTCTATTATCCTTTCTATGTATTATCATATGTTTATATATATTTATATTGAGAATTTTGACATAGAGAATAAACAACTTGATATAAAGTAAGCATTATGTATCTAAATCAATTGAATGTTTACAAGAATCAACACAAGCCAATGACACAACTGAATAGAAACTGCATCTGTGACATATTGCTCTCTTCGAGTGGTCGAGATCGTGCATTGATATCCAGCCATGTAGTATATGCTCCTCATCCGCATATCATGTAACATTTTAGATACGAGCATATTGATAGACGTGGAGTCAAGTATAATGTGTCAAGGTAGAGTGATACCGGGGTTTGATTCCTGGGGATTGTTTCCTTGTGAGCTAGTTTATAACAAAGTTTGTTATATTCATATGACATGAACATAGTCTCGTCTCAATCTGCATGAAGGATTTGCCACCGTAAATTTGAAAAAAAAACTGATAAAGGGACAATACAATAATAAACTTTAGTAAAAAATAGGCACCACAATGTTGTGGTCAAAAGAAAAAATGACGAACAGACAACACCAGTCCACAAAATACTTTACAGAAAAATTGGGCGAAAAAAAATCCATCAAAAACCCAGGATGAACTAAGACGATCGGAAAGACAAACAGTTCCAACTACACCAGTGATACCCGTCATGTTTCCTACTGCAGGTAAAATATATGCAGAATTCGATCATTCAGTCACGAATAAAAAATCATTTTATAACAATTTTCACCGTTAAATAAAATATTGTTCAAGTTATATATTTGGAAAAGAAACAAAAGTTTGCAAAAGGTTAAATCCTTCTTTTATATTAGTTGATACAGCAATAGACCATATAAGGAAGTTTGACCATTAGGATGTTATACGTACCTGTATTGTGTATTGTTAATGCCTGCATTGTCGGTTCTTTGTCAGTTGTAGCGTACACTACAGGCAACATTGCCACTGGTCCCTGATAAGATATTTAAAGAGATATTAGAAAAATATATACTGAACAGTCAATATTTCAAATGTCCGTGTTTCACACCGAAATAGCAGATACAATGCGATCTAAAACATAAAACTTTTGAATAGAAAAAAAAATTGTTATTATAAAGTCTATGGCAAACGTTAAATACGTCATTAGTTGAAGGTAGTTATTTGGTTAATAAGTTAATTTTAGACTATATATTCCGTAAATGAAAACAAAATTTTATAATATCCGTGCGTTTCATGCGCTTTTCTGGATCTACCTTCCCCGGGAACGCTCAAACTTGAAATTTGATAGCCAGGGATGAATAAGTACATATCAACATTTGGAGCTATATGATCAAAAGACAGGTGGAAGATATCAAAGGGACATTCAAACTCATAAATCGAAAATAAACTTACAACGCCATGGCAAAAGAAAGAAAAAAACCAAAAGACAAACAACAGTACACAAAACACAACATAGAAAAACTAAAGACTGAGCAACACGAACGCCACCAAAAACCGGGGGTGATCCCAGGTGCTCCGGAAAGGTAAGCAGATCCTAAGGGCATAAACATAATTAATATCCAAACTCATCTAGGATAAGGTGGGCCAGAGGGAGTTGGAACCTTAGTTTCTGGAAAATTTTTAAATTCACCAATGGGGACTTTAAACATAAGGTATGTTGTAGATCGTCAGTAACGAAGCACTGACTACTACTAAATTTCGTGCGCTTTTCTGAATTTACCTTCATTAGGAAAGTTTCAACTAAAAATTAAACTTATATGCATACACTTTTAATTTCATTCATATTGTTTCCTTATTAGATAAAAGCAATGTGGACATCTTGGATGATAATATTATGAAACATCCACAGTCTTTTTAATTGGTAATAATGTTGTTAGTCAATATTCATATCAAAATTCAAACATTGCATCTATCTCTTCCGAGAATATAATTGTAGTTAAATGTCTTTATATATAAACATATGAAGATAAAAATTACGTTCCAAATACCAATTAATATTTAGTTAAGATTGTTATTTTTCAGTTTGTAGCGGTGCAATATACATTTTGACACGTAGAATGTGTTTTGTATGTTTACAATTAATAGTGGCAGCGTCATTTTGGGTAAAAGGGAACGTATGCTATCTTATAAATATGCAAATAACTTACCTTGCAAACCTTCTTGATTTCTTTGACAAGAGGAATCATGGTAGACGGACCTCTGCTACAGTTTACTCCCACAACATCGGCCCCAGCCTCTTCGAGCTTTCTGCATGCTTCTGGTATCGGTACACCATCATGTGTCATATTTGTTTCGGTTGAACAGAAAGTTATAACGGCTGGAACTAAGGCGAGATATAAAAAAGACCTTTATTACTCTTATAAATTAATGGAAAATATCTGTATTTCATAACCATTAATTGAAAAACTTTTTATGTACCGTCCAACGAAAAATATTGCAGTGACATGCTACACAGTTTTTGGTTGTACGCATAGTTTTGGAAGATGAGAGATTTTTAACGCTAATGAGAGCATGTTGATAAACAAGGCAGCTATTCATATATAATTATGTCCCGTGATATCCTTGTAGTTTACGTTATTACGTTATTCTACCTATCAAAATATATCTTAAAGTCTGTGTGATTAAACAGATATTTGAAACAGTTAAAAAAGTAGTATCATAACAATAACATGTACAAACCTTAGAAATAAAAATAAAAATCATATGGTATAAAAATAAGGAGATGTGGTATGATTGTCAATGAAACAACTATCCGCCAAAGTTCAAATGAAGTGGATGTAAGAAATTATAGGCAACCGTATGACCTTCAACAATGAGAAAAACCCATACCGTATGGTCGGCTATAAAAGGACCCGACATGAAAAATATGAAACAATTCAATTGAGAAAACTAACGGCCTAATTTATAACAAAACAGTTTACGAAAAACAAATATGACAGACATGAACCAACGACAACCACTGAACTACAGGCTCCTGACTTGGGACAGGCACATAAAGAATGTGGCGGGGTTTAACATGTTTGTGAGCGCTCAACCCTCTCCCTAGCCTGGGACAGTGTTGTTACAGTACAACATAAGAACAATCTATAAAAATCAGTTGAAAAAGGCTTAACTCATCAGATGGATACAAATAGAAATACATCTAACAAAACACAAAGTGGACGTGGACGGGTACTTATACATCCCCAAAACAAAAAGACACCAAGTACAGATCTGAGAGTAATCGCAGTTACTGACAGCTAGTTCAAAGCCAATAACAACTAATGAAAAAAAATCATGTATCTAAGACTAAAATATCAATCAGTACACATCCAACATCCAATGGATTTAGCGTAAAGACGTCATTAACAGTAAGAGAAAACCATGACCTTGTGAAATGCCAAACTATCAGTACCGACAGATTGTAGTACAGTAAAAGTACATATGTGTAATATTTAGTATGTTTTTAATTTACTGATAACAAAATCAATATTTACACCAATAAAAACAATATTCAAAGATTTAATTACAGTGTTGAATAGATAACCTTTTAGGATAAGTTTATTTAAAAGATTGATAAGTTTACCCGGATCGTATCTAAATTTCCGGTCTCGGTTTACAACATCACCGTAAAATTTAGGATGTGCTATTCCGTTTGAAATAAGTTTTCTACAGGTACAGCCAAACATGCAGACCAAATCTTTGTATCTATGAAAAAATTTAGTCAAGGGTTTAAGTAATATGTGCATGGTAACGAAATCCCTGGCTTAATAGTTTACTAGTAATACATAGATAACGCTCATTAAAATCCAAAACGTCACTACAAACACGAGCATAGCGAACGTGTTGGGATATATAAACACCGTAAGACGGTGCCTAAGGAACATCACCGTCCAAAAAGGGAAAATTAACAATAGGGAAAGAAAAATCATCGGGATGTCGTTAATTTTTGTGAAGAGTTTATGGTGTAATACTGAAATATCTAAATCTAGGAAAGGACAGTTATTGCTGTTAATATTAGATTTATTCAAAGTAAGTTCGTTTGGGTAAATTTCAGCAGTATAGTTTGAGAATTCTTTATTTTTTAACGAAAACATATCATAAAGATCACGGAAAGTGTTGATGAATTTATCAATTAAATGGAATTTAGACGGTTCTTTACTGAGTTTGGCCATAAACTGTGATTCATAACAGTAAAGGAACAAGTCTGCTTTTAAAGGGACACAGTTGGTGCCCATAGAAATACCTTCAATCTGTCGATAAACATTATTGCCTAAACGTACATAAATGTTGTCAAGGAGAAAATTTAGTGCTTGAATCATCTCATCACATCTCCAGTAAGTATATCTAGCATATTTACCTTTCTCATTAGAGAAAAAGGCTTTATAAGAGTTGCAGCAAATAAATTTGCAACCAGATTTATCAAACGACCATTTAATAAGATAGGAAAACTTTTGTTTGATAAGATTGTGTGGAAGTGTAGTATAAAGAGTGGAAAAGTCAAAACTGTTAACCGAACACAAGGACCATCAAATGCATGTAATAGCACTTTTGTTGCAATCGACAAGACTTTCTGTTCTGAAATTCTTAATGTGAGCTTGAATATTCAACAGCATAATAGGCCCTTTGAAGCAATAATGATATTAATAAAATCAGAACAACAAAATATAAAGAAATACGAAGGAATGTAAATATCGTTAAAAACATTAAAAGATATATCAAACATTAAAAAACTTTTAAAAGACGAGCTTACAAAATTTTTTTAATACGAAATAACTTTTTTAAAAAGCAGGGGAGCGTATATTAAATTGACATTGATTTTATTTAATACCTTTTCCATACTCTTTGATACACTCTAGAGCTAAAAGAGCCTCTGCAAAGTCCGGAAACGTTTCACCAATAATAAAGTCAACATTTCTAGTCACAGCCCATTCAATTTGTTCCTAAAATATTGATGTTATGTCAGATGAACATTGTTTTCAGTGTGTTTGTTGTACCTTTCCTTTATAGTGTGTTTTGTGTCTCCCTTATAGGAGTGACAACTATAGATGATGGAGAGACACATTATTTAGGCCACTTAAACAGTTCCATCCAGTATTTTCTAAATGTGTGTGTCGAACGGTCAAGATTTTTTGTAGGTTCACAATCACCGAATTTTCTGTAATTTCGTAGCAGTATAACCCATAAAAAGGCATTGCATTTAGCAAACATATCAATATATTGATGAAGTACATGTACATATAGATTCATGGAGAGTTGTCTCATTGGCACTCATACCACATCTTCTTATATCTATCAACATTTTCTTCTGCATGTTCAATAAATGTTGAAATTCATTAGATTTTAGTGCCGATTTGGACCAAAATATTTTGTTCCATTTTCTGTCATTTAATTTTGATATGATTTCGTTCTGCACGATATCGTAAACACGCAACTAATAACTTTAACACATGTATATAGTACCTATGGCGTCAAGCCGTTTTGTATATGTCCGTCCGTAATATTTCTATTGTCAACAACTCTTCTGAATTGTTTACAGCCAAGCTTATTCATATCTTGTGTAGTATGTAGATTTGCATTATGTATTTATTATTCGTATTTCGGATCCTTTGGGGGATTGTTATATAAGTATTAGTAAATTGAAACACTCTGAAATCGTTTGAAGTAAAGCTCAGTCATGGTAGGTGAGATTCCATAGAGAGGACTCACGGTACATAAATTTATATAAACTCACGGTACATAAATTTATATAAACTCACGGTACATACATTTATATAAACAGTGGTCCAGGTTAACTCTGTAATGTGTTACTTCATTTAAACCGCTCAATGAATTGAAGTGAAACTTATACCCGACACTAAATTTACATGGCCATTGTGCATTTGGGTTTCCATAGAAATTCTTATTAGGGGTAAACAAATCAAGGCGACAGTAGTTTACCGATGCTCAAATCTTGTACATCGACGAAAAAAGAGACAAAGCAAGATAACAAACAAAAACTTTGACATTAATTTTATTTATTTTTGCTCATGATTACTTGTAGTAACAGACAACAATATTCCGTGTACTTCATTTGTTATTTTCCACAGAAAAGTATTGTTAAAGGAGGCGAACTACCTAAAATGATTATCAAAGTACCTTAAATATACTTCTAGCTTCTTCCACAGTTTTCGGATCGTGTCTGTTAAAGATGGTTGTGTTAGATATACCTCCAGCAAGTAATTTACCATGTTTGTCTGCTACTTCTTTAGCTATATCTAATGCTCTAAAGTTCAATGTTTCAAGTTCATCTTCCCTCCCAACAACTCGTAGTTTTGCTCGGTGACCGTAGTACTAAAAATACAGCAGAATGACATCAACACTTATTGATCTCTTATAATAATATATCTAGACTAAGTGTAGTGTTGAATTGTAAAGACAGACCAAAAGTTACAAAGTTGAAATGCGTGCACCAATTCATAGATAATCTTGAAAGTTGTACAAGATACCTAAGAAATAGCTACTTTTTTAATACACATTTGGAACAAACTTGAATTGAGGTCAAGTCATGTATAACAGAGATAAATCAAGGAGAGGCGGAAGATAGATACCAAAGGAACATTTAAACTTGGAAGTCGAGGACAAACTGACACCACCATGTCAAGAAATTAAAAACGACCAAAAGACAAACAACAGTGTACACATACAATATTAGGTCGATGTCAGAAAAATATACTGTTTTGTATGAGGCTGAGGAACTGGGAAGGGCGAGGTTGTACCGAGCCCTTCCCCAGTTTAGTGCCGAATACAAAAAAAAATAATATTTTTCTAACATTAATTGACCTAATATTGTTTTTATACTGCAAATTACATTAAAAAATTGATAGCTATTTAAAGTTTTACACAAATTTTAAACTTATTTTCATCCCTTAAGGAACCCCTGATTGTGGAAAAAGTGGTCCATGATGAAATTGACATTGCACAATATAGCTTTGTTACTATATTTAGGAAATAAACACAACTAGTTGCAGTATAAAAAATACAACATTTAAGAATTGAAAGCTTCTTTTTGAAAATGTATTGGGGTGTAAAAGCGTTGACCGAAGTACATTTCATTCTAAAAATGTGCGCACGGTCAACGCTTATACAACCCTATAAATAAAGGCAACAGTAGTATATCGCTGTTCGAAATTCATAAATCGATTGAGAAAAAAAACAAATCCGGGTTACAAACTAAAACTGAGGGAAACACATCAAATATAAGAGGAGAACTACGACACAACAGAAACACAACATTAAAATGTAACACACACAGAAACGAACTATAATATAACAATGGCCATTTTCCTGACTTGGTACAGGACATTTTAAGAAAAAAATGGTGAGTTGAACCTGGTTTTGTGGCTAGCCAAACCTCCCGCTTTTATGGCAATGTTAAATATAACATTAAAATGACAACATTACATGACAGGACTACAATACAACTAAAAGAAGCATTCAATACTTATGATAACATTTGTTTTGCTAGGATCATGAACTCACGATTTCTATCAAGTTTTTCTTTTATTTACCTGTGCACTTTATTATGGAATCTCATACAATCATGAATGTTACATTTCTTTTTGTTTTGAAATGAAGGTTAATTTCAGAATGACGCGAGATTACTGTTAACCAATCAAAATAACGTATTATAATGAAACGTACATGTAATGTAATTATTGAAAACTAAAGACTGAGTATTACGAAACACACCTCGTGCTCCAGTGTTATTGTGGTGTTACGCATGAAAATACAAAGTCTATATAAGTACAAATTCGGTGATAAGTCTATGTAAGTATAAATTTGGTGATAAGTCCAAGTAAGTATAAATTCGGTGATAAGTCTATGTAAGTACACAATCGGTGATGAGTCTATGTAAGTATAAGTGCGGTGATAAGTCTATGTAAGTACAAACTCGGTGATAAGTCTATGTAAGTATAAGTTCGGTGATAAGTCTATGTAAGTACAACCTCGGTGATAAGTCTATGTAAGTACAAACTCGGTGATAAGTTTATGTAAGTACAAATTCGGTGATAAGTCTATATAAGAACAAACGATAAGTCTATGTAAGTATAAATTATGTGTTAAGTCTATGTAAGTACAAACTCGGTGATAAATCTATGCAAGTACAAATTCGTTGATAAATCTACATATTAAGTACAAATTTGGTGATAAGTCTATGTTATTTGTAAATGCAAATTCGGTGATAAGTCTGTGTAAGTATAAATTCGGTGATTTGCTATGTAAGTATAAATTCGGTAATAAGTCTAATTCGACGACAACACATTCGAAGAAAAAAGGACGGAGTCGTGGTAACGACACTTGGAACATATCCGTCGTTATCTGTGAAACTAATAATTCATAACGGTCACTCAACTCGTGATATTACAAAATCTCCCCCAAAAATTTGATATCCTTGCCTTTCAACCTTAAAAAAAAGTTTTATCTGACAGTTTGTAAAAGATTTAACTGTGCAGATTTGAATAAATGTTCATGTTTCTCAACTTTTGGGCCAAAATAAAATAGTTGTTGACAAGTGCTTCTTGGTGTTTGACAAACGATATCAACGTTGCGTTTTATCGTTACGTTTATCGTCGTCCACATTATAAACGACATCGATATACACAGAGAATATTAAATGGCTTTTTCAATATCACATCCGTATCAACCCGAGACACGAATATAATCCCAAGAGCTCTGCTCGAGAGATTATATTGGTTGAGGGTTGATACAGTGTGAGATATTGCAAATACCATATCATATACACTTTATATTATTATATATCTCAAAATGTGACGTGACGTCATACAGATTAGGGGTTTGATAAGCATTTACAACCGTGATTGAATCAGATGTCGATGACGTGACGTCATACAGAGTAAGGGTCAACTTCCAAGCAAGGACCGAAGCTCATAAACTCAGCAATCATAAACGCAGGACTTCGGGAAAGTCCAGAGAGCCGACAACCTTGCTTCGGAAGTTGAGTAAGGGTGTGATAAAGCCTTTGCAACCGTGACTGATATCGATATCATCACGAACGGCTGATTACACATACACTTCACATGTATTTACTACTAAGTATGTAATAAAAATGAATATTAGAGGCCAATAAATTATTCCTGCTTGGTGGTCAATTTCTTTATTGGCGCACCTGTATCCAATCCTATTTGCTTCGCATCACGATGTAAAGCTATTAGTTTCAAACCTCGAATATATACAAGGACTAATACAGAAACAGCTAGTTAATAAGACTATTATAGTGAAAAATAACGAGAATAAAATTAAACCGTATATGCTTCGACAACGTCACTTCCGGCATGCACGAACTCTTCGTGTAAAGCTCTGAGTTGTTCTGGGAATTCCAATACTACTTCTGGAACAAAACATCCAGCACGCACGAAACCTCTCCTTTCAAACTCAAACAAATAACCCTCGGCAATAACAATGGTTTCCCCGGCAGCAAGACGTTCTTTAAATCCTACAAAAGAAAACTTCTCAAAGTTCTTCGATATTATGTACAGTATGCATAGTTATATATATATTTTCTACGATAGAAAAATAAATCAAAAATAATTAGTAGCAAGAATGCAAAAGTTGTAAAATCAGTTTTTTCTGAACTTTCACTTGGTAATTTTCAAATTTCTTCTCCTACTTCATATTTCACATTCAGCTGTTTACGGATATTCCATAACGGTCAACCAACTCGTGATCGCGTCCGCGTAAAATTTACGAAGGGATGACTTCCACTTCACAACTTGAAACTCTTGGTTTAATAGCTTCCTTGTGAGCAGCAACCCTCTTTCAAGGAAATCATGATAGGAAATACAAGCTCTGGAATATCGTATCAACTGGGAGATATATACTCCATACGCAGGCACTGCTGGAATGCTGCTACATAGAAATGGAAAGTTCACAATTGGGAAGCTGAAATCATCCCTTTTGTCGTAAAGTTTTGTTTTCAACCGGCCCTTATTGTTAATTTCTTGATGCAAGTCAAGATATGAGGCAGAATTAATTGTATCTGTTGTATCCTTTATCTCAAAATCGATGGGATAGAATATTTACAGTCTGAAACACGGCTAAAAGATTTCATTAATTTATTCTATTCTGTATCTGATTTCTATCCACAATTTCTTCTTTGATCAACGTACAAGGTCGTTCTTTTTGTACTGATTGTGAAATTATTTCGTACAGCGGTCGATCTCAAAGTATAAAGAGGCAAACAAAGGGATATATTTTGATTTAAGTTACTCTAAGCACTAAGCATTATTTAACACAATAATTTTTAGTTTTTTTTTTACTGTATTCAGATAAGTGTATGTTTCTTGACTGAATAAATATATATTGCACTTTTTTCGCTGTGTCTTTGTATCCCAGGGTTGAGTACTCACAAAACAAGTTTAACAATAATATCTGATAACTTATTGAGTGATTTGTTATTTGTTTGAAATTTTTCTAAATGTTCTCTTCCGTGAACGTAGGGAAATTGAATGTTCAATATTTTACTTCCTCTGATTTTGCATTGGTTCATATATAGACCAACCAATTTATAAATTTTACACACAGACAAGACTATGATATTTTTATATAGATATAAGAAAATGTGGTATGAGTGCCAATGAGACAACTCTCCATCCAAGTCAAAATTTATAAAAGTAAACCATTTTAGGTCAAAGTACGGTCTTCAACACGGAGCCTTGGCTCAAATCGAACAGCAAGCTATAAAGGGCCCCAAAAATTACTAGTGTAAAACCATTCGAACGGAAAAGCCAACGGTCTAATCTATATAAAAAACGAGAATCGAGAAACACTTATGAACCACATCAACAAACGACAACCACTGAACATCAGATTCCTGACTTTCAAGTGCATCTTCTAGAGAGATCTCTCTTCCTGTAAGCGGTCGTATATTTCACAAGCTTCCATTATCAATGGATGTTTAATACTTAGGGTATGATTAATTTCGTTCTCATGTTCTTCTGAAACGTCATGTCCGAAAATTTCATTTGTCATCAAAGTGTGAAGAGCTGTGTCAACGAGCATGAATCCACGGACAGCACGGGATACGGCTTTTCCATATAGCATATGTGTTACTGCATTAGGTGCAATAACAATGGTTTCCCCGGCAGCAAGACGTTCTTTAAATCCTACAAAAGAAAACTTCTCAAAGTTCTTCGATATTATGTACAGTATGCATAGTTATATATATATTTTCTACGATAGAAAAATAAATCAAAAATAATTAGTAGCAAGAATGCAAAAGTTGTAAAATCAGACGAAGTTTTTTCTGAACTTTCACTTGGTAATTTTCAAATTTCTTCTCCTTCTTCATATTTCACATTCAGCTGTTTACGGATATTCCATAACGGTCAACCAACTCGTGATCGCGTCCGCGTAAAATTTACGAAGGGATGACTTCCACTTCACAACTTGAAACTCTTGGTTTAATAGCTTCCTTGTGAGCAGCAACCCTCTTTCAAGGAAATCATGATAGGAAATACAATCTCTGGAATATCGTATCAACTGGGAGATATATACTCCATACGCAGGCATTTGTATGGCAAGTCCAATCTGCAGTGGTTCAATCACAAGTCTTGGTCTTGTTGCTTGCATGATGGCCTGCCCTATCGAGCTGATTTTCAATGAAGCGTCCTTTTCCGAAAATAAAACCTTCAAAAATACTGCCAAACTTTCAGGAATATGTTTTTCATGTGACAAAATATCGTTGTTGCTTGGATAAATTTTTTTGTCCACTGGCATAGATCTAATTTCGGTTTTAATGAGTGCTGCTGCTGTTTTTATTAAGAAAAGCTTTCTGTCTTCGTCTGATTTATTTAGCTTTGATTCTTTGTAGACATTGTGTATAATAGTAGACGCAGTTTGTCGGAATGTTACTACATTTTCTTTTCTATTGAGCTCTGTTATTAAAATTGATGTCCCATAATGTTCTTGTACCTTCTGCTTCATGTATGGTTGACTATATGCTTCATCACCACATAAAACTTTCATTCGATCCACTAGGTCTTTGATGGTTAATTGTTCATCGCCATTATCTTCCAAAAAATCAAGCACTTTTAAGAAATGTTGGTTATTTGTATTTGGTCTGCCTCTTTTCATTTGGCTCTTGTCTGTCTTCGGTGAAAATAAATGTAGTACATTTTTTCCTGTTCGGAAGTTTGTGCTGCAGGAGCTATGGTATATTGCGTCAACTGCGTGTAAATCCCAAGCAAACTCTATTCTTCCTTTGACTTCTGTTGCCCATTCATCATTTCTTTCAATGCAAATCTGCTCTACTGTTGTTTGAAATTCAGTGGTTTGAACGGCATGCACGTCAAATAACCTTCTTTTTGCTGTTGTTTCAATGGTAGAATTACCACAAAATAAGCAGTCTCCTTGAAAGCTAAACTGTTTCTCTGACCGAAGTGTAGGTGGTGTAGCTAACAGTGCTGGTGATGTGGATTTTCTTTTTAATCCTTTGATGACATTTGGATTAACGTAAGAACGGCGGCAGTGTTCATGCACAAGCTAACCCGTCCTGGTAACAATAGTGTCTCCTCTTTCTCTACTTGCATTATTAATTCCAATACTGCCCTTTTCTAGCAGTTCAACAGTCTTGTTTCCATTTTGTATATCATCATTACATATTATGCAAGTATCCATGTTTTCTTGTTTTCAGAAACCTACAAAATATAACGAAACACATAAATATATGTTTTATGATTATTACAAATCATGCAGATTCTTAGAGCACCAATACTAATATACAATCGAAATTGTGGTGTGATTCTTAGAAATTCAATTGAAATACTAAATTGTTTGTTCCATCTAACTGTAATTTGCTAATGATAAAACCAGTTTTTATAGAAAAGCAATTTCAATCATTGTCGGTACGAATTAATGATATTTAACCATTTCTATTTTTAAATATATTTCTTTTACTGAAATATCACTATTTCGCTATTGATCAATTTCTCTTTTGTAAAACTGTTGAAAAAATTATTTAATTTTGAAAAGTTATAACGTTTTTCCTGTGCATTTTCCTGAGTTTATTGCAATATCAAAATATGTCAAATAATGACATGTTTTTGTTAATACGGCGCTTCGTACTTTTTTTTCCAAATAGGGGACGGAAATGCAAGTGTAAAAACAGTTTTATCGTATTTTAATGCGTTCTTTGTAATGTATTTTGTTTTGTTTTTCTATTTCTAGTTTTATACACGTAAAAATATCTTTATAAAAACAAAGTATCAAATATCAAAGGGAGATAATCAAAATACACGGAGTAAAATGTCTTTGTTTTGATTGAACATATATTTGGAATAATATAGTGTGTATTGGTTTTAGATTTACTACAATAATAATATCTAAGTTGTCATTCCATATACATACCATTCTCTGTTTGAATTGAGAGTTTCAACGTTGTTTGCTTCGTGTACCGTTTACATGACGTCATCTCTAACTGTGTATGGTGGACGGTGTTGGCAAAAATAATCGACGTTTTTTCGTACATTTAATTTTCGATTTTTAAATATGTTCCGCAAAATATATTTTTGTATATTTTTATTTTGTTCTTTTTTAAATACAACACAATGATTTACAACAAAAAAATCTTGTGTTGCAATTAGCTTGAGGTTAATGTTTACCTTGACTAGACTACTTAACAAATTGTCTATAAATAAAAGAAGATAAAGCAAGTCAGATAGTGCATTTGTATTATTATATGTGCATTTATGCAATAAATTTTCAAATCAAGAGTTAACATTTAAAACAAACAATAGCATATCTTTTGTTGTATTAATTCAAGGCAATCTGATTTTTCTCTAAATATCATAGAACAAGAGGCACACCTGTTCCTGTATCGCTCACCTGGTGAAAAAAATCGCCAGTTTGCTAATATTGATGGATTTTTATATGCACATACTATAGTTAATCGTTTGTGTTGCTGATCATTTTTGCAATTTACATGTTTTGCCTAGCTCCTGTAGGTTTTTAGGTAACAGCCAAAAACTGCAAAAAATATTATTCATGAGGACAGCCAACAACTGCTAAAATTGGGGAAACAAATCAACATTTTAGGGCAATAACTCAAAATCAAGTAATAAGATTTTTCTTCGATTTTGAGGGTGGACTTATCTTATCATGCTGATCATTTTTGCAATTTACACTTTTAACCTAGAACCTATAGTTTTTGAGCTAATGGCAAGGAAATGTTTCATTTTAGAAAGAACCTGTTGTGCTGACCGTTTTTGCTTGTGTCAATTTTTCTCTAATTGCTATATTATTACAGATATTAACCAAAACTGCAGTTTGACCCTTATGTAATATTGTAAGATATGGTGGCCATGTGGATTGATCAATCTAGACGAAAATCACAAACGTTAACGTTATAGTTGACATCCCATAGATGAAACAGACAAACATTCATCCCATTCAGCAGTTTCAGATGAGAAGATTTTTTTAAAGAAAACTTAACGGACTACGGACGACGGATGGAAAGTGATGACAAAAGCTCACATTACCCTTCTGTCTAGGTGAGCTAAAACTGATCAAGACTTGGCTTGTATATGGATGGTCTGAACATTCACACACTGTTGAAGGTCAATATGTTCACTTATGGTAGTAAGTTTGTACTACTACTGTTTGGTTTGTATTGACGTGTCTGCTTTATCGGTTAGAAACAGATTATCATATCATACACATCTATTTTTAGATATCAGAAACAGATTATCATATCATACACATCTATTTTTAGATATTAAAGCATATGCATAATCAGCAAACCGTATGTATATATTTAAGTCGCAGAAGAAAATTATGTAATGCATTAATATTAAGTACATGCATGTATGACACAAGTGTTTTCAACGATATCTCCAATATGCAAACTCAGAAAAAGCTAATAATCCCCATACGTTGAGGTCAAGGAATATAATATATCTATATAATTAGTTTTTTGGTTAGGGGAAAACAAGGATTTATTAAACTAAAATTAAATTCCCGAGGCGAGAGGCCGAGGTTGATATCTTTTTCCTTCAGTTGATAAATTTTGTATTTTAGCATGAATTATTTTGTTCTGCAACACTTTTTTATTTTTGCTAATACTACCTTTAAGTAAGGCTTCGTCAAGTTTTCATTGATTTAAAAGAGGGACGAAAGATACCAGAGGGACAGTCAAACTCATAGATCGAAAACAAACTGACAACGCCATGGCCAAAAATAAAAAGAAAAACAGACAAATAATAGTACAGATGACACAACATAGAAAACTAAAGACTAAGCAACACGAACCCCACCAAAAACTGGGGGTGATCTCAGGTGCTCCGGAAGGGTAAGCAGATCCTGCTCCACATGTGGCACCCGTCGTGTTGCTTATGTTATTATAAATCCGGTAAATAGTCTAATTCGGTAAGTCACATTCGTGAAAAGGGAAGGGTATTGTAGTTACGACATAAGGAACATATCCGATATCATCTGTGAAACGGTTATTCCATAACGGTCAACCAACTCGTGATGGCGTCCGTAAATGTAGTTAGGTGAATATAAATTTATTCAAAATGCATTTTACATTGCGCGAGACTACCAATGTAAAATAAGAAAACGTTACTACTAGCCTCGGCCAGCTGTCACATAATAATATAATAATAAACAATACAGTCGTGGAGAAGAAATTTCACTAATATGCTTTTTCCACTCATCTTTGACGTAGCGCTCATTTGCATTTTGCCATCATTTACACATTAAATAAAAATGTACAAACTATAGATACCTGACTTACTCGCAAGAATACAATACAGAGCTAACCTCTGTTAACTTAACTACAATTTTCACAAACAATGTATTATATCATGTATATCGTACTTCACGGATTAAATTTCACGGTTATTTTAAGGTGCATACTGGTATGTTTTATTCATAGACTGTACTACATCTGTAGCATAGTATATATATTAAGAAGTATTTGCTACTGTAAAAACATTAACATGAACCCTTATGTGTCAGAGTGACCATTTAAACGTGTTAAGTTCACATTTCAGGACAGGTTACGTATGCAAACTTTCTTATTGTACTAAATATTTAAATAAAAGTGGTAGCATTTAAACACTATTAATTAATATGTGTATTTTAGATGTGTGACACAGTACTGGCGTGTAATAAACTTATAAACTCTATGTGTGCATACCGTACTGTGCATATAAATATTATTAGGTCCTTACCCCTTTTAGGCATCTTATATACTTAGTCCTGTTCTTTCAACTCTGGCAATGACTATTTCTATAATCGTGACAGCTGATACCTAATCATAACAATGTCAACAAGTGGTCTGATGAAAATCTATGGAAAGCTTGATTATATAAAGTAATAAAACGAAACCAGAAAAAGTACTTTCAAATAATGCAAAATATTACAATACGGACAAATATCTTCAACAAAAAACTTAAAGTTTTTCTTTTGTTCAGGCAGAATTTTGCGCTCTTCAGGGAAGAAAAAGGAACGAAGAAAAATTGAGACAAGCTTATTACGCTTAATTTCTTGACAGATACAGTATGATGATAATGACACTTAAATATAATATGGACATTACCAAGACACGCACAAATACACACACACACATATATATATAAGTCTAAATTGAAAACAACGTTCAAACCTATGATTGCGTTGGATAAAAACCGCAATTTTTATACGTGTGCATGCAAAACAAATTTCTTGGTAGAGTGGTCTAAATACAGCACATACAACATTTTCCAAAAGACCAAAAAAGTGAAAAAAAAACTTTTTTAACAAAACACATTTGACTAGCAGGTCGAACAACGGATGTTCTTAAACTCTGCTGACTGCCATGGCGATTGCCAAATAAACGGATCACCAGATGTAAAAATGGATCTTAATTATTAATTTAATACCAAACAGAAAACAATAAACTTGCGGAAAAGATGGTATACCGCAAACATGAGGTGCAAAAATTTGTACACCATATCCGGATTTCGACAATTAATGTCTCTTCAGTGATGATAGGAATCGAAACGGTATTTGGAAGGCCATATAATTTACCTAAATTTGGGATTGACTCTTGAATTTTGAAGAGTCAAAATAGGATGAACGGATCATATAAACCCGAAGGCAAATATAATACAAGCCCAAACGAAAAAATATAAACAAGTCTAAATTGAAAACAACGTTCAAACCTATGATAGCGTTGGATAAAAACCGCAATTTTTATACGTGTGCATGCAAAACAAATGTCTTGGTAGAGTGGTCTAAATACAGCACATACAAAATTTTCCAAAAGACCAAAAAAAGTGAAAAAGTATATCGACTGTGAGAAAGACTACACAAGTCACGTGATACGAATTTTTCAACCTCATTGTTGAAACGGGCACTATCTGGGATATCCCGTTTTGGGAAATTAAAACATATTAGAATGATTGTTAAGAAAAGTTTTCATTTTCTTTCGTGTTACGCAGAAACTGTTGAAATTTCTAGGCAATTATTACAAAGTTATTGCTACATGTAAGTTAATTCCCGTTGCATTTGAAACAGCAATGCTATATATTTCTATTATACGTTAAAGTGAGGCGAAAGATAAGCCTCGGTCACACCTTTAAGCTGTGGTCACACCTTACCGGATAGCTCGAACGGACGCCGAACGGATGAAAAAAAAAGTTTTCCGTTGACAAAATTTGTATCCGTTGGGTGTCCGTTGGTATACTGATCAAATAAAACGAACGGGTAACGAATGTCTAACGGACACTCACAGGATATGCAACGTACGAGAAACTGAAACGTACCGGACAGAACGGACGTCGAACGTACATCCAACGGACGAGTACCGCATAAAACGGACACCTAACGGAAGCGTACCGGATAAAACGGATGAACAAGATAAGCGGAAAATTAAAAGCGATAATAATAATACATATCTTTCAGGACTAAGCGATGATCTTGCCCACCATCTTCTTTGTTTTCTCCTTCTTCTCCTTTCGACAACTAGTAGGTTTATATTTGCAACATTTAAGTTCAGTCGGACCTGAATAAGAGCTGCTTGATAGTGAAGACATGCTCTTACTCCAAGATCCATCATGAGTAATAGACGTTCATGACACTCAAGAAATCTGACATATCAAAAATTGTCATTTCTGAGTGACGCGAAATTTTCAATTGGCATTTATCCGTTTTACATTCGGTAGGTATCCGTTATCCTTCTGTTCATGTCCGTTTCCCATCCGTTAGACATTCGTTACCCGTTCGTTTTATTTGATCAGTATACCAACGGACACCCAACGGATACAAATTTTGTCAACGGAAAACTTTTTTTTCATCCGTTCGGCGTCCGTTCGAGCTATCCGGTAAGGTGTGACCACAGCTATACCGAAGTGATATTCATTTTTTTGTAAATCGTTTTAACCGAAGCCAAAAACATAATATTTTGATATTTGATTGTTTGATTTTTAGTGCATGATTAACGCGCTGTGGCAATATTTCATTCATATTCAGGACAATATAAATTATAAATATATTAGTTTCCATAAAGACCGTACAAATGATACCCGATGCATTACCATAAGTTTAAAACAGAAGAACGTTTGAACAAAGTGATAGCAGGGATATTTATAACGTCTTTCTCTTAATTTTAGAACAATAGGCAGAATAATAGAATCTGTAATTCGTTCTTTCTAATATTTTTCGTAACATGACATTATTTACTATGTACTTAGGAGATAGGATCAAAAAGCCGGTTTCTTATACTCATTCAAATCATAAATCAAAATTTCCAGAAGATCTCTTCGGCGAACTTATTTCTGTCAAGATACATGTTCTTCGGAATAATGCATCAACCTGCTACTTGATACAAATATAATATGCTAATATAGAATGATCAATCCAACCTGTTATGTATATTTAGTCAGTAAACGGAGCTTTAAGACAACACTTGTCTAAACTTTCAAAGTATTTCACAAAACATTCTTTGATTTTCTTTGATTTTTTTATTCCTTTACCCACGTGAAAAGTAAAGGCTCCTATAACAATTGAAGTTTTATTAGTTTGTTTTTATCATTTACTTTGGGCAGTCTCGTATAGTTCTCGATAATGGAGTACCACGGAGACCACTGTGAACAGTCAGTATCATAGAAAAACAAATCACCAATTGAAAGACAGCAGGCTTATATGTTGGTACAACGGATGCGCGTTTCGTCTGAACAAGACTCGTCAGTGGCACTCTACTCAAAACAGTTGAAATGCCATACGAAGCTGCAGAGTATTGAAACCCAAAACTTTGAAACAGTTGTGCCAAATACGATTAAAAGAGAGACGAAAGATACCGAAGGGATATTCAAAATAATAAGTCAAAAACAAACCGAAAATGCCATGGCAAAAAACAAAAAAAAACGACGAAAAGACAAACAACAGTACACAAAAAACAATATAGAAAAATGAAAACTGAGCAACACAAACCCCACCAAAAACTGGGGTGAACTTAGGTTCTCCGAAGAGATAAGCAGATCCTGCTTCACATGTGGCACCCGTCGTGTTACTCATGTGAGTGCAAACCCGGTCATGAGTCTAATTCGGAGGTCACATTCGAGGAAAAGAGGATGGGATTGTGGTTATAATTGGGACATATCCGTTTGTGAAACAGATATTCAATAACGGCCATCCAACTCGTGATGGCGTCCGTAAAATTTGAAGGGATGATTTCAATTTTCCCGCTTGGAACTGTTGGTTCAAAAGTTTCCTTGTTAGCAGCAACTGTCTATCAAGGAAATCATAATAGGAAATGCAAGCTCTGGAATATTGTATATCAACTGGGACATATATACTCTATATGCAGGCGCTGCTGGAATGTTTCTACATAGAAATGGAAAGTTCACAATTTGGAAGTTGAAGTCTCTTATGTCTTAAAGTTTTGTTCTTGAGCGACCTTCATTGTTAATTTTTAGATGCAAGTCAATATATGACTGTAATTCAAGTTCGATGGGATTGATGCGTTGAACATAGTCGCCAAACTTTGAATTATTTAGTGAGAGGACAAAGGATTAAGGTTTTCATAGTCTGAGGTAGAAAAATTGAAGTGTTTTGATTAATTCGACATTTCATAATTTTCAGAAAATAAACGTCTAAATAATAATTCGTGTTTATTTTTAAAGAAATTGTTTTTGTATTAAAATATTTAATTTTATTGCCAAATGGTTCCGATTTATCAAAAGTCACAATATATAGCAAACGTTGAAGTTAGCTGGCATAAAGATGTCTTTAAAAGTAGGTGTACAAAATAATTTATTCAATGGCATACAAGGTTTCGTATTTTCACGTATTTATACATAAACAGCTGAAATAGTTCTGACCAACATACATGTATGTAAGTGTATGAATTGTAGGAAGGCAAGTCACAAAGAACGCACCCATGAAAGACGATCCCACTAAGAATACATCTGATATGCACTTAGAAAACCGCTTGTCTCTAATTGTAAAAAACTAATTTTAATACTAATGTATTTGTTTCTATCATCAATATGACAGACAGCATTGTAAGGCTCAACAAGTGAGCCTCCTTGTCCTATAATATCATGTTAATTTTATAGTTTTTATCACTATGTAAGTTGATTAACACATTTTTCAGTAGACCGACCCACACTAGTCTAAATTAGTCTTTACGTTTTATGTTTTTTTTTTAATGCACACCGTTACATGTACTATACCGACATCAGTTTTAATTCTAAAAGAATATTTGAAGGTACGGTTATTTAATATTCATAGGTTCACACAGAATGTTCACTGACGTCTTCTCAGTTTGTATATACAGATGAAACATATGTTTCCAATAGACTGCATTTTTTTGTAAAAAGGACCATCTTAGAAATTAGCGGAACACGATTTAAAAGATGATCAATATCAGGCTTTCTGACAGATGAAGAGCGGCTAATTTGCTATATAATTTGATGTGAACAGGTCCAATATTAAGAGCTGACAATTAAATATAAAGATAATTTAGATAAAAACGTCAAAAGTACACACGGAGTTATCAAACATGTCAAAAGAAATGGTACGAGGTTACTAGATTTGCACTATATCCTTTTACCAGGACATACAGATCAAGTAGATGATGGTCTAAATATTTTCAGTAAGATATGAATCAAATGGCTTCATTTTATCACGAGAAACAAAATATTAAAATTTGAAAAGGATTGGTTTAATGGTTCACATGTTATTGTACGAAAACTACACAAAACGTCATTTTCCAATCATTCAAGCACCATTACTTGAACAGCAAAAGTGAAAATCGTCAATATCGAATGTGACCTTCAATTTATCGTGAGAAACAACAAAACTAATTTTTTGAACGTTTTATAATTTGAGTTATCGAAAGGAATCGGGTTTGGCCACTAGACCGCCGTTTTACCGCATATCAATAACCAGATATTTCTGTTGATTGACCCTATTAATAAATGTGCACATGTTGTAATTGTTTATTATAATAGATAAACACCGGATAGACGACAATTGCAACTATCACAAATTCTGAGGAATGCGCTTAAATCACCAAGAATAATAAAAAAACCTTTAATCATAAAAAAGTCAGATGTAAATGCATATTTCACAAAATACATAAATGTGTCCTGAGAGTTTATTTTCCTCATATATATTGATATGTACTTCAACAAAAAAGTTCTTTGTTTAAAGTTTTGTCAAAACTTGTGGACTGTCAATATCGCCATTGCTTATAAATCCATTACCATTCTCTTTAGCTTCACGTCTGTCCATTTCTTCTAGATCTGCCTTAGACATATGCGCTACAAGGCCTGCGCCGTACGAATCACCCAATACATTAATTGCTGTCCTGAATCTATCTCTATAATAGGAAGGGAAATCATATTCAAATCCATGTTTAACGCAAATAAATATCCCCTCCCAGAAAAAAAAATCGCTATTCATTTAACGAATGACTTTTAAATTTTAAGGCCACTCCATGAACAACAGTTATGATATCTAAACAGCTGCACATTGATTAATAAATTGATGTCTCTCTCAGAGTTGGAGCATGGGACATATAACGTGCAGAATTCGCAGAACTCTTCAAAATAGAAAAGGATAACACAAGAGACATTTACAAACCGCTTTAGTATAATGCCTTATCACCACATATTATGATCAACGGATTAGAGTTACATGACGGGTGTCAGCATGAACCGCCGTCTCTTCCGGGGCACATGAGTTGTTTAAGGTAGGGTTCGTGTTCTCAATTTTTAGTTTTGTGGGATGCATTTAGTCTGTTCGTCTTTTTCCCCCTCTGGCTATATATTTGGTGTTTTCTGTTTTCTTCGAATTAAATTTTTGATTGCCCTCTTGGTATTTCCCCCCGAATTTCATATTGCTATAAAACATGCATGAAGACATAATCTTTCAATCATATATTTAACATAATTAAGTTGATTGGAGCTATCATGTCATTAACTGCTAGTAGTCCTTTGTTACCTATTCTAACATCGGACTCGGGCATCTTTTCTACTGAGTTTTACTATGCGTTTTTCTGTATGTTTGTTTATTCCACATTGGCTAGGTAGAGGAGGGGGTTGAGATCCCACAAAACATGTTTAACCCCGCCGCATTTTTGCGCCTGTCCCAAGTCAGGAACCTCTTGCCTTTGTTAGACTTGTGTGTTTTTTTTTAGATTTTGGTTCATTTGTATGTTTCGGAATTAGTGTGGCCGTCTAATCGGTAGGTCACATTCGGGGAAAAAATAAAAACAAATGAGAGGACGGGATTGTGGTTACGACATTTGGAACATATCCGTCGTCATCTGCGAAACAATATTCCATACCGGTCAACCAACTCGTGACGGCGTCCGTAAAATTTTGTGATGATTTCACACTTGGAACTCTTGGTTCAATAGCTTCCTTGTGAGCAGCAACCCTCTATCAAGGAAATCATGATTGAAAACGCAAGCTCTGGAGTATCGTATTAACTGGGAGATATATACTTCATATGCAGGCGCTGCTGGAATGTTGCTACCTAGAAATGGAAAGTTTACAATTTGGAAGTTGAAGTCATCTCGTTTGTCGTAAATTTTGTTCTCAACCGACCATCAGTGTCAATTTTTAGATATAAGTCAAGATATGAGGCAGCCTTAACAGTATCTGTTGTATATAGTCTTTATTTCAAGTTCGATAAGATAGATGAGTTCAACATATTCACCAAGCTTTGAATTATTTAGTGAGAGGACATCATCTATTTAGTGGATAGTGAAGTTGAAGGATAATGCCATCTTCTTTTAATTATTTACAAGAAGCTCCTGTACGAAGTCAGCCTGATATGAATATAGGAACAAGTTGACAAGAAGAGGAGCACAGATGGTTGTAATGTCGATTGTTTGTTGAAAAGCACGTTCTCCAAACGTAACAAATATGTTGTCAATCAAGAAATCAAGCATCTCATTTTCAGAGATTTTCTTTGTTTGTGATAACGATTTATCCCTCCCTAAGACAAGATAAAGCTACTATACGTATCTACGTTGGCCATTCTTTTTTTTATGAAACAAATCAGGATCAACTCTTTCAATTTGTCTTTAAGTTTGGAATGGGGAATATTTGCGTTTTAAAACTTATGCAGGATGAGAGAGTTTTAGATTGTATGTACTCTAACAGATTAACAGATCTTTGAATTTTTTTAGTATGCACATCTGATTCACGCCGCATCTAGAATCTGTAGAGCTAATTTCACAATAACTTTGAAGCCCGGCTTTGATTGCTGATAAAATTGATGTTTATTATTTAGAAAATGATTTCTTGGAGCACTTGGAAGACCCAGCAATATAACGTTGTTTGTTAAGTGTGGCGTCCATTTCGCTGCTCAACTACTAGTAATATACATTATGAGTTAGTGGACAGCTGAAGCCCGCCTCCTGGTGTGGGATTTTCTCGCTGCGTTGAAGACCTATTGGTGGCCTTTGGCTTTTTCTGCTCTTTGGTCGGTTTGTTGTTTTTTTGACACATTCCCCGTTTCCATTCTCTGTTCTATGTCCGCTACTCGTTCAGACGTACCATACTTGCATCGAGCGTGCATTTTTTAAAAATTTCAAAATTTGAGAGCGATTCAGATACATCTTGTCATAGGGTTTTATTAATGACTTATTTTCATCACATTGAAATTTGTTTTAGAAGTACTTACAAAAACCAATCAATTGGTAAAATTAGCGTTATCTCATCAATCGGAAGCCCTACAGCAGTCAAGACTATCGCCATAGTAACAAGGCCAGCTTGTGGAATACCTGCCGCACCAATAGCTGCAGCTGTGGCCGTCAGACTGAAATATGAATTAAAATAACATCAAATACGTTGTTTCCACAGTTTGCATATATAAAATACCATTTTTAAAAGATAAGTTTCTAACAGTTTTTAATATATAAAAGGTGTTTTGAATTTTCACAATTGAGTAATTTATAAAATATTTCAGATGACTAGGCGTTTGATTTATTGTGCACTTCTTTATATCTTTATTATAACATTACACTTCTACGGTTCTATTGTAACTGTCTGTTTACAAATACATACGTAGTCTCTCGTGGGACAATTAAAACATACCTGACGACAATAACTTCTCCAACACTTAGAGTGATTCCTAAGTGTTGTGCTATAAAAATGGCAGCTACAGCTTCATACAAAGCCGTGCCATCCATATTTATTGTAGCACCTATTGGTGTGACAAATTTGATAACACGTTCATCAATTTTATTGTTCACTTCCAAGCACTCCATGGTGACAGGTAATGTAGCTGAGCTGTAAAAGAAAAATCATTTCCATTGAACATTTACAAAGTGAAGAAGCTTTTTTTGTGTGATGTTTAAAGTTAAATGAATTGCTATGTCTTGGATAATAAAATACTTCTGTATCTTATTAACATTAACAGAAAAGTGCATTTTAAAAACGATATTAACAGTCATACATGTATTGGACATACTCGTTTTATTATTTACTTATTCAATTGTGATATTTTACTTGAATGAAACATTACTGATATATCATTCATAATTTTTTCGACTCCGATTTTATAGAACAAAAATTGATAGTTTTCCTGTGGAATGTCAGTGGTTCTCTCTGGGTACTTTGACTTGCTTCACCAATAAAGACTGGTCACCTTTATATAGCCAAGGCCACTGCAAGTCGCGTTAAACACCAACAAACAGGCAAACATCATTGCAATACTTGTGTCTATAAATAATTGATTGTTTTTTAATAAAAAGTACTTTCTGCAATATGCCTTATTATAATTGTACATTAAGTACTCGCTCTATCCTCCCGTCAGCCAAATGTATAAAGTGATTCACCTTGATGCCGTTCCCCATGCTGTAAGTAACGCCTTTAGCATGTTAAACATATAAATGAATGGATTCTTCCGAACACCAATAAAGTATATCAACGGTAGAATAACTATAGCATGTATTGCTAATCCAGATAATACAGTTGCCATGTAATAACCAAGCTGTGTAAACACTGTGCTTAAATTTTCCATCTCTATCAACTTCACAGCAATCAGAAATATTATACCAATGGGAGAAAACCTGCAATCATAACAAACAATAGAATAAATTATTTGCAAGCAAATCATGTTAGTTTAAATTTGGTCTTTTAATAGTTATTTGTAACAATTAACACGTAGTTCACAGTCATATTGTGGTCTTTCAATAGTAATTGTTAACAGTTCCCATATTGTGAAAATGTGTTATCTATTTCCCACTTTTATAAGAATGAACTCCTAATTTGTCACGTCATTATGGAAGGAAAACAGTGAAGAGTTGCTTGTCTATATGAAGTATTACGGCTGCATTATATAAAAATAAGGGGATGTGGTATGATTGCCAATGAGACAACTATCCACCCATGTTGAAGTGGATGTAAGCAATTAAAGGCAACCGTGCGGCCTTCAACAATGAGAAAAACCCATACCGCATAGTCGGCTATAAACGGCCCCGACATGAAAAATATGAAATAATTCAATTGAGAAAACTAACGGCCTAATTTATAACAAAACAATTTATGAAAAACAAATATGACAGACATGAACCAACGACAACCACTGAATTACAGACTCCTGATTTGGGACAGGCACATAAAGAATGTGGCGAGGTTAAACATGTTTGTGAGCGCTCAACCCTCCCCTAACCTGGGACAGTGGTGTTACAGCACAACATAAGAACAAACTATAAAATCAGTCGAAAATGGCTTAACTCATCAGATCGATACAAATCAGAAAACACCTAACAAAAACACAGACCGGACATGGCATGGTATTTATACATCCCTAACAACAAAAGACACAAAGTACAGATCTGAGAGTACTCGCAGTTACTGACAGCTAGTTTAAAGTTCAACAACTCATAAAAGAAATTGTTTTTTAGTTCGATATAACCACAACATGGAATAGTTGCAGTAACTAGTAATGTTGAATTACTTACATAATTACAGAATGTCATTGCGATCACTGTTTGAACATATCTTTTTATATTCATGATATTTATTTTCGCTTTTTAACATTTACTTATATACCATAAAACACACGCTGAGTTTTGCTTTGTTAACGAAACCACGAAACGTAGGGACGGATGGAAAGACGCTCAAGAGTAACACTTAATGCCCCCGTTACCTAATAATAGTCTGACAACATTACTTTTGATTTTTCTAAAACAAATATACTACCACTAAAAAAAGTGTGGTTACAACAGCCATCTCCGTGCGCCCTGTACATTCATGGAGAAAAAAAAAGCGGATCACACGGTACCGTACAGTACCGTACTTTTGAAAAAATGAGTGTTATTTACGAAATAACAGTACTGTACGTGAAGAGTTGCCACCGTCAATTTGGGATTTGACGATCGCAAATGCAGTTTCACTGGCGATGCAGAGCTAACAGGCAAAACGTTTAAAATTAAGTGTAAAACTCACCAAATAACAAGTGTTACGAGTTTCATCGTGGCTAAGTGCATACATTCAAAGAAATCGGCCAAAGGTTTTCCTGTTTTACCCATCTTAGATAACGTACATCCAAAGAAGATGGAAAATACAACCAATCCTAAAATATTCATGCCATCAGCTTTCTTTACTTTTGGGTTGTCAACATTCATTGTGACAGTATATTCAGTTTCTGCGAGAGAAAACAAAAACCAATTAAGTATAAGGTAAAGTCGACATTAAGATAGTGGGGTTTTCCCAGCAAAATTATTTAATTAATGATCAATGATTAATATTTTTCACTTTCAGTGGAATTAAAAGGGATAAACAAAAACTTATATATTGCCATTTGATATGTGCAATTGTTCAACATTTCTTGTATATACTGAGTCTGTACTTAGTATCGAATAATTTAAAACTTCTCTTTTACCATACTATAATCAAAAACTACAAAACATTCGAATCGTTCTTACTTACTAAGCATGTACATTATGAAAATACTCACGATTTTCTGAAGTTTTATTGACGTATGTTTCGTTTACTTCTAGTTTTTCAACATCAGTCTGTTGCTGCAAGTAGAAATAAAGAAAGCCATAAGAACACAAACTATACTAGCCGGATTTATCTCGGAACTTTCACCCTCATATGTTTCTATATCAATAGATATACATATTATATGGTGAATTGATATATCTGATTGCAAATATATTTGCTGCAACTCATTTACAGCCTGCTTCTCTAATAAGAATGGTAAATATGCTAGATATACTTACTGCAGGTGTGATGAGATGATTGAAACTGTTAATTTTCTTTTTGATAACATTTATATACGTTTCGGCAATACAGTTTATCGACAGGTTGTTGGTACTCTTATGGGCAATAATTGCGCCCCTTTAACAGCAAAATTGTTCTTTTACTGTTATGAATCACAGTTTATGACAAAACTCAGTAAAGACCCGTCTAAACTGCATTAAATTGATAAATTCATCTTGATGATATTTTTTTCGGTAAATATTCAAGAATTTTCTACATATACTGCCAAAATTAACCAAAAGGAACTTAATCTAAATAAATCGAATATAAACAGTTACTGTAATAACTGTCCTTTCCTAGATTTTTATATTTCAGTTTTACACGGGAAACTCTACACAAAAATTTACGACAAAAGGGACGATATTTTTTCCTTTTTTGGACGGTGATGTTCCTTTAGCACCATCGTACGGTGTTTATATTATATCTGCCCGTGTCTGTTGTGACGTTTTGAATTTCAATGGACGTAATCTATCTGTTACCATGGTATATTATAAAGTCAGGGAATTTCGTTACCACAAATTGCTCAAAACCTTTACAAAATTCTTCCATAGATACAAAGATTTGTTTTGAAAGTTTGGCTGTACTTGAAGAAAAATTATTTCAAACGTGATAGCACATCCTAATTTTTATGGATATGTTGTTTACCGAGCTCGAAAATTTAGGTACGATCCGGGTAAACTTATCGATCCTTTAAATAAACTTATTCTTAAAGGTTACCTATTCAACATTGTAATTAGATCTTTGAATATTGTTTTATTGGTAGAAATATTTTTGTTATCAGTAAATTAAAATCAAACTGAATATTATTTCTATATACATATGCACATTATTGGCTCTACAATCTGTCGTACCTGTATCATGGCATTGCACAAGGTAATTTTTTTCTCTGACTGCTAATGACATCTTTACACTCAACCCTTAAATGTTGGATGTGTACTGATTGAATATTTTAGTCTTAGATGCATGATTTTTTTGTTAGTTGTTATTGGCTTTGAACTAGCTGTCAGTAACTGCGAGTACTCTCAGATCTGTAATCGGTGTTTATTTGTTTGTTGTGGAGATGTATAAATACCCTGCCACGTCCGGTATGTGTTTTTGTTAGATGTTTTTCTGCTTTGTATCGATCTGATGAGTTAAGCCATTTTCAACTGATTTTTTTAGTTTGTTCTTATGTTGTACTGTAACACCACTGTCCTAGGTTGGGGGAGGGTGTGGCGCCATCAAACTAGTTTAACCCCGCCATACTGTATGTGCATGTCCCAAGTCAGGAGCCTCTAATTCAGTGGTTGTCGTTTGCTGCTGTATATCATATTTGTTTTTCTTTTATTGTTTTGTACCTAACTCAGGCCGCTAATTTTCTTGTTTGAACTGTTTTACATTTGTCATTTCGGGGTCTTTTATAGCTGACTATGCGGTATGGGTTTTGCTCATTGTTGAAGGCCGTACGGCGACCTATAGTTGTAAACTTCTATGTCATTTGGTCTCTGGTGGAAATTTATCTTATTGGCAATCATACCACATCTTCTTATTTTTATAAAACATATTTTCACGTTATAAATAGCAGAGAGACAGTGATGGCTCAATGAAAGTTTTTTCCAATAAAAACAGTGTTTTTCAAATCTGAAAATAGTAATGAGGCGAACTAAACTTATGCTAGCTTTCAAAGCGTTTTTAGACCTTCATTCAATTTGGTTCTATCTATTTCACGTGAGTTTTATTATAGAACTGGCAAGATGATCTAACGTTTATACATTTCAGTGTTTTCAGTTATCATGCATATATGACTCATTTCGGGATTGGACAAGGGAGTAATCTGAATAGTATTGCAATATCTAACCTCAATATGAGTCTCTTAGAACAGCATATTAAAGTTGACAAATAAAAAATGGTCGAGGTGAGTATTGAACGATCCATAGCGAGCACATAAATATTATGTAATAAGAACATATGGTGACAAAAGTATACTAGTGCTTTAAAAAGTTTAAAATAGGGTTGAAATCGTATATTTTATTGAAACATGCATTTACAATAAAACAGAAGAATAGAATCGACGAGACCATTCGTTGGCGCGCTCAATTCTCCAATTGAATGGATCAGATCAGGTAACCGTTTGTCTGTTACGCCTATCTAACACGTTGTTTTTACAAGGAATCGATATATACCGGACATTTAAACATACGGGGTTGCCGCCATTTGTATTGTTTAATAGCAGTACACAATCGGTCGTCAAATTTTGAGACTAAATTGGCAATTTATGGGCTGGATTGTTTATTTGTGATTATTGCATTATTTAGACTGTTTTTACAAATACCAAGTATTTGTTTTTTTTTTATTCAATTTTCAACTTAGCAATATAAGGGAAGATAAAAAATTCTATCTCAGATTACTTTCTATTCACAAATAGTGCTTTTTCATGAATAACTTATGCTAAATTGCCTCTAGCTTGAAAAATTGCATGGTGACCCATACTTTTAATCATATTTTTGAAAAAAAGCATGGTTAAATCTACATTTTTGCAAATTATAAGAACATGCTATCTGAGGAAATATTTAGTGATGATCCACCCTTAAGTATATACAATCAAAGATTATGTTTATTTGCACATTGTTAATATTACATCGGCTAGCTACTGTCCTTTCAATGACTTAATACGATCTCTTCTATTTTTCAAATTACTACAGGGTGATCGGTCTTAGTTGTCTTCCTATATTTGAACCATATTTTGAACTAAGTAGTTTGTCACGTCTTTTGTGTGATTTGCCCTTGTAACGTCATCTCGATTTTAAATGTCTAAGCAATTGCTGAGATTTATTTTTCAAACATGTATAATCTTAGTAAAAATTTCTACTTCTTACTTAATCTAAGTAAACAGTTTTCATACTGTAAGTAAATGAGTATATTTATTCGTAGTGTAAAATATTAGGCTGAAATTGATTTGTTGCTTAAGGAAAATTGGATTACAATTCAGTTGTCTGTTAGGCATATTTATTATCGTTTTCTAACATACCTTTTATAGCTGACTAATGGGTACGAGGTCGCTCATTGTCGAAGGTTGTACATTGACCTATATTTGCTTACATCCAAGTAATTTGAACTCCGGTAGATGGTTGTCTTATTGGCAATCGTACAACATTTCTTTATTTTGTTGTTGCATTCATATCATGTTATCAAATATCTTTTTTCATTTAATTTTGTCGTGCCATATTTATTTTGAAAGAGTCTTACCCTTTTGAAGCATGCCTCTATTAAGTTATCTGGAAAGCAGTTTCTGTAAGACAAAATAAACAATTTTACTTCATTGCTTCATATGCATTGCACAACAGGGATATTAAAACACTTCACATAACTCCATTTAAAAGCAAACCCTCAATCTCAATGATTATTTAAACTCCGCCAGGCAGTCAAACCAGTGCCGAAGAGAAAGCTCCATTGTGCGGGATGTACAAAAAAAATGTAAAAATACGCAATCACAACTGATCTGATTGGTTATTTGAAATTGAAGTCATCTGTTGGAAGAATTTCTTGTGTTTCGTTGTGTTAACATAAACTCGAGCAAGAGCTCTCCATAAGATTTCATAATTAATTTGATGTTTACTTAGTCAAATTTAATTTGGGCTAATACCATTGTTTCCTGTGGAAGACTAAATCTTAAGTGTCTTCTCCTCCTGATGCCGCTTTAAAAAATCATATCAATTGACGTTCTGTTTAATTTGTAAACAGTTTTGACGTAGACCAAAAGCAATCAATCAATTTTAGACATGCAAACTTTTGGGTATGACTTATTCCAAGGATAAAATAGATATATCAATAAATTTGTTCGGTTTTAATAAAGCTGCTAGAAGAAATCGTCGCACGTAGACTAAGCAGCGTATAAATACAAGTACAAAAAGTAAAGCTAAATATATCGTGATAAATTATCATTTTACAAATGCTCGAACAGTTTATAGAAAATACTAAATTGTTTGAACGAACATGTTCACGAATTATGAAATAAATGCATGATAAACATTACCTTATAAGGTCAAAAAGTGCATCCAGTGGTTCACTGTTCTTGGCCTCGCCAGACTTATCTATCGCTGCACCCTTTGTCCCAGGGGAAATAGCAAGCACCATTATAATACCAAGGATGACAGCAAACAGAGTCGTAAGCATGTAATATATAACGGCACGTAATCCCATTCTCCCTGATGCCTTGCCGTCCAGAAATGCTAATGAAGATATTAAGCTTGAAATAATGAGAGGGAGAATTAACATTTTTAGCATGTTCATGAGTAAATCTCCAGGAAATCGTAAATAGTGTAATTTTCTTTTCTCATTTGGTGACCATATTTCTCTTAATCCAATACCAAGTCCGATTCCAATGGCTACAGCAATTATCATAAGAATAATCAGCAGATTGTCAAGAATAATTGCTTTTACCCTTCCTTTTCGATTCGGAATTTTCTGTTCTGGTTCGTTTTCCATTGAAATCACTGAAATACAAATATAACGCACTCTGATAATAAGAAAATATATAAATGAAAGAAATTAAGAGAAAGAGGTGCGTCCGTTTGGTTGTGTGGGACGTATAAATACGCATTCACGTCCGGCCGAAATTGGTAAAACTCAAAAATCGTAACATAACTTTGAATCCGATCTTACCACTTTGCAGAACCTATCTTTTTGATGTATTCTAACCTCGTTATCGTCCTAAATATGCATGAAATATTTGCAACTGAACAATCAATCAATTACAATTCGTACATAAACATTTACTTTTGTCTTGCGGTTTAAATTGCTTGTAATGTTGTGGGGAGTTAATTCATTTTCATTGATATTATATGACACATACTACAATTTATTTAACGAATGTTTTTAACTTTTCTGTAGGTAAATTATCTTATATAACACTACATTTTTTGTAAAGCAACTTTACTACATTTAGTTTAACCGTGTTTTATTTGAAAAACATGTCTAACACATATAATTGTAGTTAACCCCGCCGCATTTTTGCGCCTGTCCCAAGTCAAGAGCCTCTGGCCTTTGTTAGTCTTGTATCATTTTTAATTTTAGTTTTTTGTGTATAATTTGGAGTATTGTATGGCGTCCATTATCACTGAACTAGTATACATATTTGTTTAGGGGCCAGCTGAAGGACGCCTCCGGGTGCGGGAGTTTCTCTCTGCATTGAAGACCATTGGTGGCCTTCGGTTGTTGTCTGCTCTATGGTCGGGTTGTTGTCTCTTTGACACATTCCCCATTTCCATTCTCAATTTTACATGTATATACAAAGGAATTTGGAAACAAAATTCAGCTTTATTAATCCGTCTACCTTCGGTTGTTATCACATTTGTACATTCAGTGATAAATAAGAGTCAATGAACATTTGCATCAAGTATTTTGAACACAAGCAATACTGACAAGTAGTAATTGTCTACCAAAAATTCAAAATATATTTCAATTGAGGTTGTGAAAAGTTAAAATAACAAAAATATCGAACTCCAAGGAAAAGTCAAAACGGAAAGTCCCTTATCAAATGGTAAAATCAAAAGCTCAAACACATCAAACGAATGGAAAATAACTGTCATATTCCTGACTTAGTACAGGCATTTCCGTATGTAGAAAATGGTGGATTTAACCTGGTTTTATAGCTAGCTAAACCTCTCACTTGTATGATAGTCGCATAAAATTTCATTATATTGACATTAATGTGTGAACAAAACAAACAGACATGATTGGTAAAAATGTCAAAATTAGGGGTACAGCAGTCAAAATTGTGTTATAATCTTAAGCACTATAAAAACAAACAAATATGCTCACAAAGAAAAACAAAATGGCATATAGACAAAGCATAAGCAAAAATGAAAGACAAGAATAAAAAAAATGACCATAGCGTAATAACACAATGGCGGGGATGTATAAGTACCGAGGCACGCCGAAAGGATATTACAAAAATGTGAGAGAGCTTTATTGATAAAAGTCCTTCATTGACAGTTTCTAAATTAAATAATTAAGCAACATAACCACATTTGTACACTCTATGTTGAATCAATGTAGAGGGAAATACATGTTTCAATAGAGTATGTGAGAGTAGGTGTATTTACAAAGCGAGATAATTGAAGGTTGTTTACAAAAGATTTTAGGTAAACGTCAATGAGACAACAATGAAACGACATAAATATTAATCAAAGTACTGAAGTACTGAACATCGGATGACTGCAAGTTCTTGTGGATGGTCACAAGCACTTGTCTCAGAAAAAAAAATCACATCTCTATACCTGAAAGTGAGGTAAATGTACTGATGTAAATTTTTTTTCTTAGACAAGTTCGTGCGTGGATGATAAATGAATGACAGGGAATTCAACCTCACCGTAAAAAATATGATATTGAAGTGATACAAATCAGTATACTCTGATTTTTTGTTATATATTATATTAATATTTGTATATTACAGTTATATGTATATATAATTTTCATCCATTTGTATATCATTCTATTCTATTATATTAATAATAGTGCAGTGCAAATGCATGGTGGACACTCTTCTGTAATAATTTGATTTTTCTAATAGATTGGATTTGAGTAGGCATTCATATTTCCCCGCCAAACTTTCAATCTCCCATGCAGAGTTATCGGTCCTTGAGAGAGAGCGAGGACCGATAACTCTGCATGGGAGATTGCAAACGTTCTTTAGATATTCTTCCGCATGCGTTAACACAAATTTTCTGTACGTGTGCATAGACATTAAAGATTTTTTACTTATATATATATTTCTAACGACAAAACATTTTCATATTATAAATTTATGTTCCAATAAAAATATTTTTAGGAGTATCCATTAAAAAAAATGAACTTATAACAAGCGATAAGGATTGTTATTTTGTACTCGATAATGTCCGCGTATTTATCATGTTTATAGATCGGTTACAATCCCAACACGAAAGTTACGTAATGGAAATCTAGGCGACAGCAATACACCGGAATGCCCTCACGGTCATCCGATGTAAAAAGCCATCTAAGTACTCAACATACAGTCTTCAAAACTAGACATGTATTTACAATAATTTTCTTCAGTGTTTTTAAAAATATTCATGTGGACAGTTTCTTGATTTTTATGTTCACGGAAAAGAGAGGCGAAAGATACCAAAGGAAAATTCAAACTCATAAGTCGAAAATAAACTGACAACGCCATGGCTAAAAAAGAAAAAAAGACAAACAAACAACAGTACTGGGAGTGATCTCAGGTGCTCCGAAAGGGTAAGCAGATCCTGCTCAATATGTGACACCCTTCGTGTTACTCCTATAAAATACGCTGATAAGTTATAAAAAGTGATTAGGAGTATACAGTTCTGGTTTGATTGTAGTACGCACGACACGTGTAGTTTGTGGTTAACAAATTCTATTAAATGATTGGTTCGCATCCCAGTCTCACATTGATGACTTTCCACAATTATATCCGATAAACCACTTAATGCTTCAACTACAATCAACGAAATAGAACTTAACGAAACGGAAATGGGTGGAAGACACTCTAGTATAAGTAATCCATCAAAAGCTTCTGGTCCTTACTCAATAAATCCAGAACTGTAAAAGAGGCTTCAGCTATTTTTAAATATCCTTTGTGTAAATTATTCAACTTGCCCTTGCATAGCGCAGTATTGTCCAATCAATGGAAAAGGGCAAACGTTTTCCCTGTATTCAAAGTAATAAATCAAATGATGTGAAAAATTACAGATCGATTTCCCTCTTGCGTGTTATATCAAAGTGTATGGAGCGCTGTGTTTATAAGCATATTTACAATCACTTAAAACAAAATAATTTTCTTAGCAGTAATCATTCTTGCTTCACCGGTAGGAACTCAGCAGTAAATCAACTGGTAAATGTTGCAAACGATTTTGGTAAAGCTCTCGATAGTGGCAAAGAAATAAGGGTTTGTTTTCTGTGATATAAGCATAGCCTTCGATAGAGTTTGGCACAAGGGTCTTCTTTTCAAATTACAACCAGCTAAAATATCTGGTAGTTTATTGAAATGATGTGAAAATTATCTGTCAGGAAGAACCCAAAGTGTGGTATTTAATGGTACAAGATTTGAATGGCTACCTGTTATGTAAGGGTACCCCAGGGGTCTATTCTAGGGCCTCTACTGTTTTCTAATGTTTAAATGACATTGTCGAGGATATTCATACAGAAATTAAATTATCTACTGATGATATTTCATTGTACTCAGTAGTTGATTACCCGATTGAAGCTGCTGCAACATTAAACAATGACTTAATAAAATACATAGTTGGTCACACAGAAATGGCTTGTTAATTTTAATGACAAAAGAAACAACCCCAAACAGAATCTATGATTTCTAGGAAAAAAACTCAGTTGTTGCACCCCGTTTAAGATGAATAACCAAGAACTCAAGTTAGTCGACAATCACAAACATCGTGGTGTATATTTCTCTAATAATTGATTTTGGCAAGACCATATCGAATATATGACGAAAAAATCTTATTTAAAGGTCAACATTTTTAGAAACGTTAGAAACGAACTCGACCGGTTAACTCGAATTATATTAATATATTATATGTATCTTATAATACGCCGATGTTGTGTGGGACACACATAATATAAAATAATACAAAGGCTTGAAAATATCCAGCTTGATGGCCTCACGCAAAGTTAAAGGGGGGACTAAACTCACGAATATTAGTAAATTATACGTTGAAACTCAATGGGAAAAGTTATCGGAACGCAGGGAGAATCATAGATTGATACTCTGTCACAAAATTGTATATGACAAAACACTTAGTTATCTTTGTGAACAAATATCAGTTTTAGTAGGAAGTACACATAACCATGACACAAGGCAAAGTCAAAATAGTCTAGAAATCAATACAAGAACTCACTTATATTCTGAATATTTATATTCTGCAACAGTGAAATTATGGAATAAGCTACTTTTTAAAATATTCGACAATGCAACTTTCAAGTGATTATGCATTCTCTTGCGGATTTTCCATAGCGTATTGATTTAAATATTTTGTTTTCTGGATCAGGTTTTAACCGATGAAGAAAATAGTACTCTTTTTGTAATCGTATAGATGTATATATATTGAAAAGTAAAAGATTCACACCATAACATGAAAGCGTCATTCATATGTTTTCCCTGCATTTCATTTAGTTCATTTCATTGTTTTTTCTCTCCTTTTTTTCCTTCTAAAACTACAATATAATAAATTTCATTTTGTATTTACTATTCTTACTTTATTCAAATTGACAGAGCATTTTTCAAGTATTCATTATGTTGTAATTCATCATTCTTTGGAGACAGATTATATAAGCAATGTTGCTGGGTTCTAGATCCAATTGTAATACTAGTAATGTATTATCTTATATATATTACCTTGATTTGATTTGTTGAATAAAATATTGTTTAAACCAATAAATCCTATTGGATTTCTTCTATGTGTGGTTTTGTTTCAAGTGTTCAATAGAGAGGAAC